AGTCGCTCGAGTACATCAGGCGCAAGGACTTTGGGATGACAATCTTTTGTCCATACATAAGTAGACCAAAGCACAAAGTTAAGTTGTCTTCAGCGTTGTGCTATAGCCGGATTGAAGGTGGAACATGTTTGGGATGTGACCAGCTGCCTTCGACGTACTGGCGAAGTAACTTACAATCCGGATCGTTTAGCTGATGGTCTCAGATTTCTGCCAGGCGAGCATCAGAGGCCGGCATGCTGTCAACAGTGGCGGAGGCAAACTATTCAACCTTTTCGTTGAAACTTACAGCACTAGCACAAGACGACTGTAGACCAGGAGAGTGAGAGAGTGCATCAGGAATGACTAGGTGCTTTCCTGGCAGGTGTGATATTGAGAAATCAAACAGCGTCAGACCCAGGCGGAACTGTTAGTTACCTCCTCCCATACCTCTTCTAGCTGGCCTGCATGCACTCGCGTACTCACCTTTTGTCTCCTTTTGTTCCGTTGGCCTGGGTAGCTACTTGCGTGCCCATAATTGCCATAGCTACCCAGGCCCTTTATCTTTTGCCGTTCAGACTTGATCTCTTTCTCACTCTTCAATAATCACCATGTAGTCGTTTCGTTCGTCCTGGTCTTAGTCATCCCGTCTCTAATAAATGTCGTTCCACCAACCTAACTTGTTCCCGTTGTCCGTTGTCCTAATTCATACTCAACATTGGCGCCCGACCATTGCTCGGAACCCACGACCCTCGTCCTCAACCGCCACTCGTCTCGTCCATGTCCCAGGCGCGTACGCAGTGGGGGGGGGGGGGGTTTCCCGTTGCCCGGAAACCCCCCAAATTTTCCAAACCAGCAACGTTTTTGGGCATTTTTGGTAGGGCGTACGATCGATCTGGCAAGAATGCAAAACTTCAATAGATCGTAACTCAGCCAAATCTCGCTCAAATCCAACGATCCAAATATCCAGGTCGAATACAAAACTCTCAGCAGTCGGTTGAAACAATTTGCGACGCGCTGCGAGCAATTTCTCTTGAGATAAATCATTCGTAAGTTGAGCCACGATCTCGCAATTTCAAAAGCGCGCAGTGCGACTCGATTATCGAGAATTTGAGACTTTTCGTCAGGCTGACTTGTTCAAAATTATCAGGGGCTTCACTTGTGATATTTTCAAGAGTACACAGCAAAAAAATTGACACTCTGCGATCAAGAAAAACGAAATCGCTGGAGCAGGACGCTTTGGGCCTTTGTGGCATTTTTCGCACCGTCGCTGCACTCTACAGCTATAGCCATACTGGCCATAGGGCTGGATACATGTACATGACTGTACTGTGTCCTGGATATTATGGTCGACCTCATTCTCTCCCGGGTACCTTTCCACTTCCAGGAAGCCCAAGATAACGAAGATTTGTATTGAAGATTAGTGAGTAGAACTGAAGTTATGAAAAAATATGAAAAAATGCATAATTTTGAAAAATTCCTAGGGCTCTTTTAGAAAGGGTTAAAACGAGTCAATGTTTGAGATTCGGTTGGAAACCCCCCTAGAGGTGACCCTGCGTACGCTCCTGTGTCCATCTCGTCTCGTCTCCAACCTCGTCTCGTCTCCAACCTCTTCTCGTCTATGTTAACCTCGTCTCGTCAATGTCAACCTCGTCTCTTCTATGTCAACCTCGTCTCGTCCAAGCCATGCAGGTCAGCTACTTTCTTTATTTCTCTCTTTCTTTTTCATCCGTCCTTCGTCGTCAAATATATTTTCGGTTTATTTTATTTTTTGATTTTTGTAGTGTGTGTGCGCGCGGGTGTCCTTCATTAATATTAGGGGTCCGATCATGGTGAGCCACGCTCTTCTATTTATGTCGTATATTAAAGTGTAAATAGGCTGCATTAGCCGTGCAAAATACTAGTAATCAGAATGCAATTCACGTTCCTCGTCAAACTCCAATTGTTATTTTTTTGTGCCATGTTTTTGAAGTGGTGTTTGGGCCCGTTGTTTTTGGCAATGTACACACTATAAGTAGTACAGGGACGTTGTAATGATCTGTAGTGCATTTTTAGTACACACTTTTGTGAGGCCCGTGCGTTGTGTGTGGGTGTGTGGGTTTTTTTTGTTTTTTGTTTTTTCTTCTCTTCTTCCTCGGTCATTGTTTCCATCTATTTTTCTCATCGTCTTATTATTTCCCGCGCGGTCGCGGTTCTTTTTTCACTCAGGGGAGGTATGCTAGGTACCTCCTCCCGTACCTTTTCTAGCTGGCCTGCATGCACTCGCGTACTCACCTTTTGTCTCCTTTTGTCCCGTTGGCCTGGGTAGCTACTTGCGTGCCCATAATTGCCATAGCTACCCAGGCCCTTTTTCTTGACGTTCAGACTTGATCTCTTTCTCTTTCTCGCTCTCCAATAATCACCATGTAGTCGTTTCGTTCGTCCTGGTCTTAGTCATAGTCTCTAATACATGTCGTTCCACCAACCTAACTTGTTCCCGTTGTCCGTTGTCCTAATTCATACTCAACAGAACCATAAGACACGAGGCAGCAGATTATCAACTGCTGTCGAGCTGATCAGGGGAACAAGCGGCTGGTGGTCTGTCTCAACCACGAATTGCTTACCAGTGAGGCAATCGCTGAAGCGTTCACAAGCCCAAGTGATGACAAGGGCCTTTCTTCTCAAACGTAGCATATTTACGTCCGTAGCTGTCCGTGATCTAGACACATAGGAAACAGGTTTCCACTCGCCAGAAGGTTGCTGTTGCGAGAGGACTACACAGATGCCATAGCCCGATACGTCTGACGATACCATGGTGGTGTGCATCGGTGAGTAGAGTACCAAGACAGGGTCTGTTGGCAGGGCAGCGTTCAACTCTTCGAACATTGACTGTTGAGCGGGGGCCCGAGTCCAGCTATTGTCCTTCTTCAGGAGGTCACGGGGTGGCTTTGAGACGGTGGCAATCTCGGGAGAGAACTTTCCATGTTTGTTTACGATTCTAAGAAAGCTCCGGACATCAGAGCCATTCACACATTGCGGGAAATCAGTCAAACCTTGCAACTTGTCTGGATCAGGATGAATGCCATTAGCGTTGAGGACATGGCCAAGGTACTTCACCGATGTCACCTTGAACTCACATTTGTTCAGATTCGGAGTAACCCCAAGATCACACAAACGCTTCATTGCGCCGTGGAGGTATACGGCGTGGTCCTGACCAGTCTCGGCGAAGATGAACTCGTCATCCTTCTGGCATGTGGTTCCTGGAACGCTGTTCAGGGTACTGGTAATCTTCTTTTGGAAATGCTCTGGTGCTGAACAAATCCCAAAGTGGCAAGCGGGTGAACCTGAACCTTCCAAATGGTGTAATGAACGTCGTAAACGGCTGCGATTCTTCCACCAACGGCACTTGGCAGAATCACAGATAGCATCTAGCTTCGTGAAATACTTTGCTCCACTGAGCTGGGCTAGCGTGTGGTCTACACATGGTAGCGGACGGTACTCATGATGAACAAACTTGTTCAATTCGGTGAAATCCGCGGAGAGACGCACAGCACCAGAAGGTTTCTGTACCACATCTAAGGGGACACACCAGTCGGAAGCTTTCGTGACCTCATCCATTAGCGGCAATGGAACATGACGAGGACAATGTAGGGCAAACAGTTGTGCCTGATTAACTAGGCTTATCTTGTATGGATCCCCAGAGAATCTGTCCAGTGGCTAGAACAGTTCGGGAAGCTTGAACTTCGCAGCGTTGAGCCAATCGACATGTTGTTCCACAACTTCTGCGACATACGGGTTGACCTCCAACAGGTTCAGGCCAATGATGTCGGGTTGTCCCAGCAAGGCTTGTCGGACATTAGTGACAACACACACGTCTTATACTGAGCACTCTTCACCGACTGACAAGGGTGTGCTTAGGACACCATCAACCTGAAGCTTCGTGCTACTGGCGCTGGTGAGAGTTTGCGTGCTCTTCATCACCGTGCAGCATTCGAGTGTATTAAGCAACGATGACGGTATGACCGTTACCTTGGCCCCTGTGTCATTCTTGATCAACACCGGTGTTCCATTCAGGGATACGGTGGCCATCCATGGCCCATCACCGTCGACCGAACCCAAAAAGTACTCTTCGGGTTCACTGGAGACAGAGGCCATCTCCTGCTGTGTCGGCCTTGGCTTCTTGGACTGACATACTCTAGCGAAATGACCCTCCTTTCCACAGGAGCGACAAGTGGAGTTTCTCGATGGGCGTTGTGAGCGATCTTTCTCTGTACTTCCACAAAACAGAAACTTGTCTGGACTCCTCCTGGAGCTCTAATACTTAGACCATAGACCATAGCAAAAGAAAGTACTCGTAGAGATGGAGAGGAAGACTTGGATGTAGAGCCTTAGGGTTACCAGATGGAAGATGAGAGTCAGAAAGGAATACCGGGTGTCCTTTAGTCAATGCGGTTCAGATGATGATGAATTGTGTTTCACAACTTTATGGTGCACACGTAGATTGTGTGAATTCAAAGTATTGGTAGCTGTAATCATTAGGAAGCACAACCCCAACCTTTCCATCCAGAAAGAAATTGTCACCTAGCTTAAACTATTCACGTAGCTTTCAGACACACACACACACACACACACACACACACACACACACACACACACACACACACACACACACACATATGCATGCACGCACCCACGTACGCACACACATGCACGCGTACACACATAACTACATTACATGCATACACACGGCACATACGCACACACGCGCACACACACACACACCTTCCTTCCTTCCTTCTTCCTTCTTCCACTGCCATGACTGCCTACGTGGCCCCATAAGGGGCAGACCAGGAGACGTGTTGTACACAGGGCGGGGAACGCCAGACTCAGCGCGCGCTGGCTGCGCGAACAGCGTTACATTTGTGCCTCGCAATATCCTGTGGCCGACGAAAACTGCGCGCACAAGTGCCACAGATGAGGGGCTTCGCCACAGGCTCCATGCGGGACTGGACAATAGCGTCGACAGCGTCACGGCAAGTGGCCCGCTATCCCTGTCGATCTTGGACGATGTCACCAAGATGCTCCAGAGGAACGCCAGCAGCCATCAAATCGCACTTTGCGGAGTCCTTCCAGCGCTTATGGGGTCCATGCGGTGGACGTTTGGACGGTAACGAGCCGTACAGCAGCTGACGAGGGATTCGATCCTGCATGCGGGACACGTGGCCAAGCCATCGAAGTCGGCAGACTTTGACTTTATCCGCGATCTCCTTCATATCGCCCCACATCTTGCACACCTGGAGAGAGGAGATGTGCTCCTCTATCTGCCAGCCACGATTGACCTTCAGGATGGAACGCACGCACTGCAGATGAAAGGATTCCAGGCGACGGACATCACGCTGCCTAACGGTCCAACTCTCAGAGCCATAAAGCAGGACGGCCAGGACAGTCACTCCATAGACAACGCCCGTAATGGCCATGTTAATAAAGCACACGCACACACGCACACACGCACGCACACATGTACCCGTACACACACATACATACATACATACATACACACATGAACACATGCATACACCTTGAACCTTGAACCTTGAACCTTGAACGCCCATTGCCGTAGCAATGATAGCGATGGCTTCCTCACACTGAGGTTCTAGACCCGAAATCTGCAGTATGGCGCATGCCGCTTGAGGTCACCAGGACGGCGGAACACTCTGTCACAGCGGTAGTTGGGGCACGGGATGTCTGGGGCTTCCTTCTCGACCCTCTGTCGACAATACTGAAACCAGACGGATCTCTCTGAGCTGTGTGGTACCAGCCCGCTTCAGACAAACCGATGACAGTAAAGTCCGAGGGCACAACATCCCGCCAGCGCATCTTGGGACCATGTTGCGGGCGTTTGCAGGGCAGTTCGCCGACCAGCATCTACTTGGGCAGCCGGGTCTCCTTCATCCGTGCAACGTGACCAAGCCACCGCAAGCGGTGCTTCCTGATCACATCGACCATGTCGACGTCCACCCCTGTCAGCTCGCTCAGCGATGCCGAGGACAATCTATCCTCCCATTGCTCACAACGAGAGATACCGAGAATTGTGCGAATACACTGATGGTGAAAGGTGTTGAGTCCACAATATGACCCGCTTTGATGGGCCATGTCTCCGCACCGAAGAGAAGAGCAGGAAGGACAATAGCACGATACACCAGCCGCTTGGTGTAGACCGAGAGATGTACGCACTGAAATATCGGAGACCTGAGCACGCCGAACAGGCGGGACGCCTGCGCCAAACGAGCAGCGAAGTCCGCATCCACCGTTCTCTCAGCAGAGAGCACGCTGCCAAGGTACCGGAACCCGTCCACTATGTCAATCCTGCTGTCACCACCGAGGTGAACGGGATCAACTGATGTTGGTTGACCCACAGCCATGCCCTTCGTCTTTCTAATGCTGACGGTCAGTCCCATACGCACACACATAAATACACAGCCCCCCCCCTTCCCCCACACACACACACACCACACGTGCGCGCACGCACACACACACACACACACACAAACACACACACACAAACACACACACACACACAAACACACACACACACACACAAACACACACACACACACACACACATGCACACACTCAGACTCAGACTCAGCCATGCCCGTCGCGGAAGTGATGATAGCGAACAGGTATGTTAGACATAGCAACTTGTGCTGGGATTACACCATTCAACAGCTTGCAAGGCTGGTGAATACACACACGCATGCACGCACGCACACACACACACACGCACACATACACGCGACGTACAACCTACACTCTACACTCTCTTGCACTGTTATTTACCTCAAGCGTAGTGATTATTTACCCTCTTATTTTGGTTTTCACTCCACCTACGCATGTCATTAGTTCACACTAACTTGACATCTTTGCACTTTCCCCTGTTCCTTGACACATTTATATAATTATTAGTTGTATTCATTGCTAGTTATCATTGTTGAGACGTACTTCCCTGATGAAGGCCTCATGAAAACTGGTTGAGAAAATCTAGAACTCCAAAACGAGAGAGCTTGGAAGCTCAGGGCCCTACGCTATGCTTTTTTGCCTAGCTCATCATGCATGTTATTAGAACTGATGGAATTGTTTTTTTCCATTGATTGGCTACATCAAACTTTCTCTTTGCACTCGAGGGTAATACGACACCGTCTACCACCTTGATTTACCTAGACAAAAAAGCATAGGGAAGTTATAATTTTTTTTCTCCTGTTTTTTTTTTGACATAACCTGGGATTCCAACCCGCATCGCCCTGCATGCATTCCCCCCATACACTTCGCTTACATTCTCATTCTTCCAAGTTGCTTCATGTTATGATCTTGCATTTGAACGCCCTATTTGAATATTGTGGCCAGCTGTCTTTGATGGTCCGGTGCGGGACAGGTACAGGATAGCGCCAGGCATCTTTTCCGTTTGCCGTTCTTTAGCCACAGCTCTCGCCTTCATCTCTGGTGCGGGTGTAATCTACTGACTTTGTACATGCGTTATAATAGACCAATCGCTTTGTCTGGGTTCGTGAAAAGGGCCGCGCGTGCAAGTCAGCTCGCGTTATAATAGACCAATCCCTTTGTCTGGGCTCGTGAAAAGGGCCACGCGTGCAAGTCAGCTCGTGTGAAGTGCATGGTGTTTTGTATTTAGTTGGTATGTGGCGGCTTATGGGACAGAGAGACTTTTGCTCCCCGAGCTTGTGTATGTAAATAGTTTTTTTACGTTGAGTATGACAGCTACAATGCCCAACCATACCACAACGAACTGATCGGCTACATCATTGCGTTGCAAAAAAATTCTGTCTGTTCGAATTACATGCATGATAAGCTAGCCAAAAAAAGCATAGCATAGGGCCCTGCGCAAAAGAAATAGCCTTTCTCTTTGCATTCGAGAGTAATACGACACCATCGACAACCTTGATTACCTACGCAAAACAGGGATAGGGATGTTATTAATTTTATAAATTGTTCATTTCTCCTTTTTTTCCCCAAGACATAACCTAGGATTAGAACCCGCACTATCGCCCTCCATGCATTCCCCGATACACTTAGCATACAACTCATTCTTCCAAGTTGCTTCACGTTATGATCTTGCATTTGAAAGCCCTATTTGAACATTGTGGCCAACTGTCTTTCGTGGTACGGTACGTACGAGACAGGTAAGGGATAGCGCCAGGCATGCCGATGGCACAAACAAACAAACAAACAAACACAGAATTAAAGCTGTGTGGACCTTGCATAGCTACGGGAATTAATGTTCTATTTCGTTTTTGATAAGTGCAATGTCCACCTCGCTAATTCTGCTTATGACCACATTAATGTTCATTCAGAGGCATGCATATGCACTATCATCAGAAACCCGCGTGGACCCAGTTACAAGCTCACTCAGCACCAAAACTGCACACTGGTCTGAAAAATAATAAATACCTTCTGGCTAACAAAGCAATATCAAGCAACTGTGGCTGCCTTATAAAAAATAAAATTCTAAATACTGGCCTCCAAGCTCTTACCGCCTGAATTTCTCCATATTCTGGACCCCTTCATACACTGGCATACAAAGTTAGTAACTTTGTCAGTAACTGCTACTGCCTCTAACTGTTAACTGTAAAGTCAGTAACTGTTACTGACTAGGCTCCCCCCCCCCCCCTCCCCTGCATATACTCACTAGCAAACAACTCTATAATCACAACTGTGGTAAAAGCAGAGGCATGTACAAATGCTACCAAGAGAAGCAGGCTTGTAACATTTTACCAACTGACTTAGGGTCAACCCTGCATCCTGGGAAAACTAGGGGACAAAGCATAGGCCATTAGCTCCAGGGAAACATCTTTTCTTTTGGCCAGTCCCCTGCCCGTTGTTGAGACATGCATTTTGGTTTTCCAGTACTTGCTGGCAAACAACTTGTCAACTGACTTAATATTCAGAGTAGTCTACATCCGGCTGCCTTACTTGGCAATAAGTTGTACATCATAATGAAGGTCAGTACATTACTGATGGATAAAGCATAGGATGATCGGGTCATGTGTGTTACCTTTACACAGGCTGGTGACCTTCCTGTTCATCGTGCTGCCCTCAATGGACGTCTGGAAGTCATCAAGTACCTACTAGATTTCGAACCAGACACGATCTCTGTAAAGAACAACGTAAGTTGAGCAATCTCTACCATTGACTCTCCTTACTGTAGTCAGTTACTCTTACAGCACTCTTGAGAATCACTGTGCTAGCTGTATGTCTATTGGTGGGGGAATATCAGGCTGAAACAACAGTAACCCCACCGATCATTTGCATTGCAGAATTATTATGTGTACATAATAGCTTGTAACCTTTTACCAACTGACTTAGGATCAACCCTGCATCCTGGGAAAACGTGGGGACAAAGCATAGGGCATTATCTCCAGGGAATTGTCTTTTCTTTTGGCCAGTCCCCTGCCCGGTGTTGAGACATGCATTGGGGTTTTTCAGTATTTGCTGGCAAACAACTTGTCAACTGGCTTAATATTCAGAGTATCCGGCTGCCTTACTTGGCAATGAGTTGTACATAATATTGAATGTTAGTACATTACTGATGGATAAAGCATAGCGTTATCTGGTCATGTGTGTTACCTTCATACAGGACGGTGACCTTCCTGTTCATCGTGCTGCCTTCAATGGACGTCTGGAAGTCATCAAGTACCTACTAGATCTCCAACCAGACACGATCTCTGTAAAGAACAACGTAAGTTGAGCAATCTCTATCATTGTCTCTCCTTACTGTAGTCAGTTACTCTTACAGCACTCTTGAGGATCACTGTGCTAGCTGTATGTCTATTGGTGGGGGAATATCAGGCTGAAACAACAGCAACCTCACCAATCATTTGCTCCAAAAGTACCTGTGACTATTGGTGACTCTCCTACCCAGCACTGATACCTGCATAAAGCACCTCCCATATACCGACATCGTAGTAGTTCTGCAACTTCTAGCACTTCTGACACCATGTAGTATTCTGGTTCTTTAGGAATTAGGATACTATTGTATTATTGATTCACAGGCAATATGAAAGAGAAACCTTTTTTAAATGTGGCATCAGCAGACCCCAGCTGTAAGAGGTACTACGCGGGCGTGTACATGTGGCGGTACACGTAACTTGTGTACACGTTATGTAAGGGTTACACGTGCTCAAGAGAAACGCATAATACATAGCATGACACGACAAGTACCACAGCTGTCACTATTGTGCTAACTTTTACACGTTATGACTAATCAGAATCATGCTTATAATTCTTAGAGCTGGGTAACTACAGATAACATGTAAAACTTTAGTCACAGTAGGTTATACATCATAATTGTGTAAGATACAGACTGCAGATAGATAATACATATATGAAGGTATGATCTTGTCTTTGCCTGCACACAGAACGGTGACCTTCCTGTTCATTACGCTGCTTGGAAAGGACATCTGGACGTGGTCAAGTATCTAGTAGATCTCCAACCCGACACGGTCTCCGTAAAGAACAAAGTGAGTCGCGCAGTCTCTGTCACTGTATTGGTCCTGATTACACACTCCAAGAGTTCGCACATTTGACAAATGACTGACTACATGGTACATTCCCTATATCATGCAGGTCACTTTTCCATTGCATAATTATTATGTAAGTGTTTGTGTTTGTGTTTCGAAGACACTGTCATTCATAGCGAGGCGCTACTGTGTTGCATTAGATTTTCTGGTAGTAGCTAGGAGGAACATTTCCAGCTAATCAATCAGAGTAGTCTATATTAGGATTCCTTGACTGACAGTAGATTGTACATCATACTGGTATGTAAGATACAGACTGCAGGTAGATAATACATATATTGAGGTATGATCTTGTCTTTTCCTGCACACAGTACGGTTACCTTCCTGTTCATCACGCTTCTCGGGGTGGACGTCTGGAAGTCATCAAGTACCTACTAGATCTCCAACCAGACAAGATCTCTGTAAAGACCAACGTAAGTTGAGCAATCTCTATCATTGTCTTTCCTTACTGTAGTCAGTTACTCTTGTTGTTGTATACTTTATTTATAGTGGAAATCAAAACAGGCAAAATGCCTAATAACATTGGACCCACTGTGAATAACATGTTAAAGGATATTGTGGAAAAAAAAAAACTCTTACAGCACTCTTGAGGATCACTGTGCTAGCTGTATGTCTATTGGTGGGGGAATATCAGGCTGAAACAACAGCAACCTCACCAATCATTTGCTCCAAAAGTACCTGTGACTATTGGTGACTCTCCTACCCGGCACTGATACCTGCATAAAGCACCTCCCATATACCGACATCGTAGTAATTCTGCAACTTCTAGCACTTCTGACACCATGTAGTATTCTGGTTCTTTAGGAATTAGGATACTATTGTATTATTGATTCACAGGCAATATGAAAGAGAAACCTTTTTTAAATGTGGCATCAGCAGACCCCAGCTGTAAGAGGTACTGCGCGGGCGTGTACATGTGGCGGTACACGTAACTTGTGTACACGTTATGTAAGGGTTACACGTGCTCAAGAGAAACGCATAATACATAGCATGACATGACAAGTACCACAGCTGTCACTATTGTGCTAACTTTTACACGTTATGACTAATCAGAATCATGCTTATAATTCTTATAGCTGGGTAACTACAGATAACATGTAAAACTTTAGTCACAGTAGGTTATACATCATAATTGTGTAAGATACAGACTGTAGATTGATAAAACATGCGAATGTCTTGTTTTGTCTTTACCTGCACACAGGACGGTTCCCTTCCTGTTCATCGCGCTGCTGACAACAGACATCTGGACGTGGTCAAGTATCTAGTAGATCTCCAACCCGACACGGTCTCCGTAAAGGGCAAAGTGAGTCGAGCAGTCTCTGTCACTGTATTGATCCCAATTGCACACTCCGAAAGGTACTCTTCGGGTTCACTGGAGACAGAGGCCATCTCCTGCTGTGTCAGCCTTGGCTTCTTGGACTGGCACACTCTAGCGAAATGACCCTCCTTTCCACAGGACCGACAAGTGGAGTTTCTTGATGGGCGTTGTGAGCGATCTTTCTCTGTACTTCCACAAAACAGAAACTTGTCTGGACTCCTCCTGGAGCTCTCATACTTAGACCATAGACCATAGCCGAAGAAAGTACTCGTAGAGATGGAGAGGAAGACTTAGGTGTAGAGCCTTAGGGTTACTAGATGGAAGATGAGAGTCAGAGTATCGAAGTGTTCGGCAAGAAAGAAATGCCGGGTGTCCTATAGTCAATGCGATTCAGATGATGATGAATTGTGTTTCACGGCTTTATGGCGCACACGTAGATTGTGTGAATTCAAAGTATTGGTAGCTGTAATCATTAGGAAGCACAACCCCAACCTTTCCATCCAGAAAGAAATTGTCACTTAACTTAAACTATTCACGAAGCTTTCAGACACACACACACACACACACACACACACACACACACACACACACACACACACGCACACACACACACGCACATGCATGCACGCACCCACAGACGCACACGCACGCACACACATGCACGCGTACACACACATAACTACATTACATGCTTGCACACGGCACATATGCACACACGCGCACACACACACACCTTCCTTCCTTCCTCCTTCCTTCTTCCACTGCCATGACTGGCTACGTGGCCCCATGAGGGGCGGACCAAGAGACGTGTTGTACACAGGGCGGGGAACGGCAGACTCAGCGCGCGCGGGCTGCGCGAACAGCGTTACATTTGTGCCTCGCAATATCCTGTGGCCGACGAAAACTGCGCGCACAAGTGCCACAGATGAGGGGCTTCGCCACAGGCTCCATGCGGGACTGGACAATAGCGTCGACAGCGTCACGGCAAGTGGCCCGCTATCCCTGTCGATCTTGGACGATGTCACCAAGATGCTCCAGAGGAACGCCAACAGCCATCAAATCGCACTTTGCGGAGTCCTTCCAGCGCTTATGGGGTCCATGCGGTGGACGTTTGGACGGTAACGAGCCGTACAGCAGCTAACGAGGGATTCGATCCTGCATGCGGGACACGTGGCCAAGCCATCGAAGTCGGCAGACTTTCACTTTATCCGCGATCTCCTTCATATCGCCCCACATCTTGCACACCTGGAGAGAGGAGATGTGCTCCTCTATCTGCCAGCCACGATTGACCTTCAGGATGGAACGCACGCACTGAAGATTAAAGGATTCCAGGCGACGGACATCACGCTGCCTAACGTTCCAACTCTCAGAGCCATAAAGAAGGACGGCCAGGACAGTCACTCCATAGACAACGCCCGTAATGGCCATGTTAATAAAGCACACGCACACACACACATGTACCCGTACACACACATACATACATACATACATGAACACATGCATACACCTTGAACCTTGAACCTTGAACGCCCATTGCCGTAGCAATGATAGCGATGGCTTCCTCACACTGAGGTTCTAGACCCGAAATCTGCAGTATGGCGCATGCCGCTTGAGGTCACCAGGACGGCGGAACACTCTGTCACAGCAGTAGTTGGGGCACGGGATGTCTGGGGCTTCCTTCTCGACCCTCTGTTGACAATACTGAAACCAGACGGATCTCTCCTGCGCTGTGTCATACCAGTCCGCTTCAGACTAACCGATGACAGTAAATTCCGAGGACACAACATCCCGCCAGCACATCTTGGGACCATGTTGCGGGCGTTTGCAGGGCAGTTCGCCGACGAGCATCTACTTGGGCAGCCGGGTCTCCTTCATCCGTGCAACGTGACCAAGCCACCGCAAGCGGTGCTTCCTGATCACATCGACCATGTCGACGTCCACCCCTGTCAGCTCGCTCAGCGATGCCGACGACAATCTCTCCTCCCATTGCTCACGACGAGAGATACCGAGAATTGTGCGAATACACTGATGGTGAAAGGTGTTGAGTCGGCGAATATGACCCGCTTTGATGGGCCATGTCTCCGCGCCGTAGAGAAGAGCAGGAAGGACAATAGCACGATACACCAGCCGCTTGGTGTGGACCGAGAGAAGTACGCACTGAAATATCGGAGACCTGAGCACACCGAACAGCCTGCGCCGAACGAGCAGCGAAGTCCGCATCCACCTTTCTGTCAGCAGAGAGCACGCTGCCAAGGTACCGGAACCCGTCCACCATGTCAATCCTGCTGTCACCACCAAGTTGAACGGGATCAACTGATGTTGGTTGACCCACAGCCATGCCCTTCGTCTTTCTAATGCTGACGGTCAGTGCCATACGCACACGCATAAATACCCAGCCCCCCCCCCCACACACACCACACGTGCGCGCGCACACACACACACACACACACACAAACACACACACACACACACACACACACACACATACACACACTCAGACTCAGACTCAGATATGCCCGTCGCGGTAGCGATGATAGCGAACAGCTATGTTACACATAGCAACTTGTGCTGGGATTGCACCATTCAAAAGCTTGCAAGGCTGATGAATACACACACGCACGCACGCACACACAAATGCACACATATACAATGACGTACAACCTACACTCTACACTCTCTTGCACTGTTATTTACCTCAAGCATAGTGATTATTTACCCTCTTATTTTGGTTTTTCACTCCACCTACTCGTGTCATTAGTTCACACTAACTTGACATCTTTGCACTTTCCCCTGTTCCTTGACACATTTATATAATTATTAGTTGTATTCATGGCTAGTTATCATTGTTGAGACGTTTTTCCCTGATGAAGGCCTCATGAAAACTGGTTGAGAAAATCTAGAACTCCAAAACGAGAGAGCTTAGAAGCTCAGGGCCCTACGCTATGCTTTTTTGCCTAGCTCATCATGCATGTTATAAAAACTGATGGAATTGTTTTTTTCCATTGATCGGCTACATCAAACTTTCTCTTTGCACTCGAGGGTAATACGACACCGTCTACCACCTTGATTTACCTAGACAAAAAAGCATAGGGAAGTTATAAATTTTTCATTTCTCCTATTTTTTTAGACATAACCTGGTATTCGAACCCACACTATCGCCGTGCATGCATTCCCCCGATACACTTAGCTTACATACTCATTCTTCCAAGTTGCTTCATGTTATGATCTTGCATTTGAACGCCCTATTTGAATATTGTGGCCAGCTGTCTTTGATGGTCCGGTACGGGACAGGTACGGGATTGCGCCCGGCATCTTTTCCGTTTGCAGTTCTTCAGCCACAGCTCTCGCCTTCATTTCTGGTGCGGGTGTAATCTACTGACTTTGTACATGCGCTATAATAGACCAATCCCTTTGTCTGGGTTCGTGAAAAGGGCCACGTGTGCAAGTCAGCTCGTGTGAAGTGCATGGTTTTGTATTTAGTTGGTATGTGGCAGCTTATGGGACAAAGAGATTTTTGCTCCCCGAGCTTGTGTATGTAAATAATGTTTTACGTCGAGTATGACAGCTACAATGCCCAACCATACCACAACGAACTGATCGGCTACATCATTGCATTGCACAAAAATTCTGTCTGTTCGAATTACATGCATGATGAGCTAGCCAAAAAAAGCATAGCATAGGGCCCTGCGCGAAAGAAATAGCCTTTCTCTTTGCATTCGAGAGTAATACGACACCATCTACCACCTTGATGACCTAGGCAAAACATGGATAGGGATGTTATTTATAAATTGTTCATTTCTCCTTTTTTCCCCAAGACATAACCTGGGATTAGAACCCGCACTATTGCCCTCCATGCATTCCCCGATACACTTCGTATACATACTCATTCTTCCAAGTTGCTTCACGTTCTGATCTTGCATTTGAAAGCCCTATTTGAATATTGTGGCCAGCTGTCTTTCGTGGTACGGTACGTACGGGACAGGTACCGGATAGCGCCAGGCATGCCGATGGCACAAACAAACAAACAAACAAACACAGAATTAAAGCTGTGTGGACCTTGCATAGCTACGGGAATTAATGTTCTATTTCGTTTTTGATAAGTGCAATGTCCACCTCGCTAATTCTGCTTATGACCACATAAATGTTCATTCAGAGGCATGCATATACACTATCATCAGAAACCCGCGTGGACCCAGTTGCAAGCTCACTCAGCACCAAAACTGCACACTGGTCTGAAAAAGAATAAATACCTTCTGGCTAACAAAGCAATATCAAGCAACTGTGGCTGCCTTATAAAAAAACAATTCTAAATACTGGCCTCCAAGCTCTTACCGCCTGAATTTCTCCATATTCTGGACCCCTTCATACACTGGCATACAAAGTTAGTAACTTTGTCAGTAACTGCTACTGCCTCTAACTGTTAACTGTAAAATCAGTAACTGTTACTGACTAGGCTCCCCCCCCCCCCCCCCACCATGCATATACTCACTAGCAAACATCTCTATAATCACAACTGTGGTAAAAGCAGAGGCATGTACAAATGCTACCAAGAGAAGCAGGCTTGTAACCTTTTACCAACTGACTTAGGATCAACCCTGCATCCTGGCAAAATGTGTGGACAAAGCATAGGCCATTAGCTCCAGGGAAACGTCTTTTCTTTTGGCCAGTCCCCTGCCCGGTGTTGAGACATGCATTGGGGGTTTTCCAGTACTTGCTGACAAACAACTTGTCAACTGACTTAATATAATATTCAGAGTAGTCTATATCCGGCTGCCTTACTTGGCAATGATTTGTACATCATATTGCAGGTTAGTACATTACTGATGGATAAAGCATAGGATTATCTGGTCATGTGTGTTACCTGTACACAGAACGGTGACCTTCCTGTTCATCGTGCTGCCTACAAAGGACGTCTGGAAGTCATCAAGTACCTACTAGATCTCCAACCAGACACAATCTCTGTAAAGAACAACGTAAGTTGAGCAATCTCTACCATTGACTCTCCTTACTGTAGTCAGTTACTCTTACAGCACTCTTGAGGATCACTGTGCTAGCTGTATGTCTATTGGTGGGGGAATATCAGGCTGAAACCACAGCAACTCCACCGATCATTTGCTCCAAAAGTACCTGTGACTATTGGTGACTCTCCTACCCGGGACTGATACCTGCATAAAGCACCTCCCATATCCTGACATCGTAGTAATTCTGCAACTTCTAGCACTTCTGACACCATGTAGTATTCTGGTTCTTTAGGAATTAGGATACTATTGTATTATTGATTCACAGGCTATATGAAAGAGAAACCCTTTTTTAAATGTGGCATCAGCAGACCCCAGCTGTAAGAGGTACTACGCGGGCGCGTACATGTTGCGGTACACGTAACTTGTGTACACGTTATGTAAGGGTTACACGTGCTCAAGAGAAACGCATAATACATAGCATGACACGACAAGTACCACAGCTGTCACTATTGTGCTAACTTTTACACGTTATGACTAATCAGAATCATGCTTATAATTCTTAGAGCTGGGTAACTACAGATAACATGTAAAACTTTAGTCACAGTAGGTTATACATCATAATTGTGTAAGATACAGACTGTAGATAGATAACACATGCGAATGTCTTGTTTTGTCTTTACCTGCACACAGTCCGGTTCCCTTCCTGTTCATCGCGCTGCTAACAACGGCCATCTGGACGTGGTCAAGTACCTAGTAGATCTCCAACCCGACACGGTCTCCATAAAGAACAAAGTGAGTCGAGCAGTCTCTGTCACTGTATTGGTCCTGATTACACACTCCAAGAGTGTGCATATTTGGCAAATGACTAACTACATGGTACATTCCCTATATCATGCAGGTCACTTTTCCATTGCAGAATTATTATGTGTACATAATAGCTTGTAACCTTTTACCAACTGACTTAGGATCAACCCTGCATCCTGGGAAAACGTGGGGACAAAGCATAGGCCATTATCTCCAGGGAATTGTCTTTTCTTTTGGCCAGTCCCCTGCCCGGTGTTGAGACATGCATTGGGGTTTTCCAGTATTTGCTGGCAAACAACTTGTCAACTGGCTTAATATTCAGAGTATCCGGCTGCCTTACTTGGCAATGAGTTGTACATAATATTGAATGTTAGTACATTACTGATGGATAAAGCATAGGGTTATCTGGTCATGTGTGTTACCTTCATACAGGACGGTGACCTTCCTGTTCATTGTGCTGCCATCAATGGACGTCTGGAAGTCATCAAGTACCTACTAGATCTCCAACCAGACACGATCTCTGTAAAGAACAACGTAAGTTGAGCAATCTCTATCATTGTCTTTCCTTACTGTAGTCAGTTACTCTTACAGCACTCTTGAGGATCACTGTGCTAGCTGTATGTCTATTGGTGGGGGAATATCAGGTTGAAACAACAGCAACCTCACCAATCATTTGCTCCAAAAGTACCTGTGACTATTGGTGACTCTCCTACCCGGCACTGATACCTGCATAAAGCACCTCCCATATACCGACATCGTAGTAATTCTGCAACTTCTAGCACTTCTGACACCATGTAGTATTCTGGTTCTTTAGGAATTAGGATACTATTGTATTATTGATTCACAGGCAATATGAAAGAGAAACCTTTTTTAAATGTGGCATCAGCAGACCCCCAGCTGTAAGAGGTACTACGCGGGCGTGTACATGTTGCGGTACACGTAACTTGTGTACACGTTATGTAAGGGTTACACGTGCTCAAGAGAAACGCATAATACATAGCATGACACGACAAGTACCACAGCTGTCACTATTGTGCTAACTTTTACACGTTATGACTAATCAGAATCATGCTTATAATTCTTAGAGCTGGGTAACTACAGATAACATGTAAAACTTTAGTCACAGTAGGTTATACATCATAATTGTGTAAGATACAGACTGTAGATAGATAACACATGCGAATGTCTTGTTTTGTCTTTACCTGCACACAGGACGGTGAGCTTCCTGTTCATCGCGCAGCTTTGAACGGACATCTGGACGTGGTCAAGTATCTAGTAGATCTCCAACCCGACACGGTCTCCGTAAAGAACAAAGTGAGTCGAGCAGTCTCTGTCACTGTATTGGTCCTGATTACACACTCCAAGAGTGTGAAATTTGAGAGGTACTAAGAGGTACTACGCGGGCGTGTACATGTGGCGGTACACGTAACTTGTGTACACGTTATGTAAGGGTTACACGTGCTCAAGAGAAACGCATAATACATAGCATGACACGACAAGTACCACAGCTGTCACTATTGTGCTAACTTTTACACGTTATGACTAATCAGAATCATGCTTATAATTCTTAGAGCTGGGTAACTACAGATAACATGTAAAACTTTAGTCACAGTAGGTTATACATCATAATTGTGTAAGATACAGACTGTAGATAGATAACACATGCGAATGTCTGGTTTTGTCTTTACCTGCACACAGTACGGTTCCCTTCCTGTTCATCACGCTGCTCACAACGGACATCTGGACGTGGTCAAGTATCTAGTAGATCTCCAACCCGACACGGTCTCCGTAAAGGACAAAGTGAGTCGAGCAGTCTCTGTCACTGTATTGGTCCCAAGTGCACACTCCAAAAGGTACTCTTCGGGTTCACTGGAGACAGAGGCCATCTCCTGCTGTGTCAGCCTTGGCTTCTTGGACTGGCACACTCTAGCGAAATGACCCTCCTTTCCACAGGACCGAAAAGTGGAGTTTCTTGATGGGCGTTGTGAGCGATCTTTCTCTGTACTTCCACAAAACAGAAACTTGTCTGGACTCCTCCTGGAGCTCTCATACTTAGACCATAGACCATAGCCGAAGAAAGTACTCGTAGAGATGGAGAGGAAGACTTAGGTGTAGAGCCTTAGGGTTACTAGATGGAAGATGAGAGTCAGAGTATCGAAGTCTTCGGCAAGAAAGAAATGCCGGGTGTCCTATAGTCAATGCGGTTCAGATGATGATGAATTGTGTTTCACCGCTTTATGGCGCACACGTAGATTGTGTGAATTCAAAGTATTGGTAGCTGTAATCATTAGGAAGCACAACCCCAACCTTTCCATCCAGAAAGAAATTGTCACTTAAAGGGGAAGTTAAGGCAAAAATTAAAATTTCACCAGTTGTAGTCTTCGGGGTGCTGAGTCGAATGGTCGTGGTCCGAGGAAGCTGAGACGCTCCCTTCCTACAGGAATCCCAATCGAACTCGCGCACTTCCACCGAAACTGGGTGACTGCGCCCTACTAGATGGGGATTTGTATGCAAAATGTCACTAAAAGCGCCATTTCGTTCTTATAAAAGCATGGATGACCGCGATTGGCCCATATGTTGTAGTCTTTTGGACGCTGAGTCGACTGGTTTTGGTCCGAAAAGGCTGCGATGCAGCGTTCCTCCTTTATTCCCAATCGAACATGGTTGAAGAAGCGGTCACGTGCTCCTGCGTACACCAGTCACCTGGTCACCGTGCCTGCAGGGTACAACTTACTAGCCTGTTTGACCTTTTTTGGGTGCAATCCTGTCACTCGAGTTAAACTCGAGTTGAACCTTGGTGTGAAAGTTGTCACCTGCTGGCGTGGTGACCAGGTGATTTGGGCACCCAGCACCACGTGACCGCTTGTTCAACCATGTTCGATTGGGAATAAAGGAGGAACGCTGCATCGCAGCCTTTTCGGACCAAAACCAGTCGACTCAGCGTCCAAAAGACTACAACATATGGGCCAATCGCGGTCATCCGTGCTTTTATAAGAACGAAATGGCGCTTTTAGTGACATTTTGCATACAAATCCCCATCTAGTAGGGCGCAGTCACCCAGTTTCGGTGGAAGTGCGCGAGTTCGATTGGGATTCAAGTAGGAAGGGAGCGTCTCAGCTTCCTCGGACCAAGACCATTCGACTCAGCACCCCGAAGACTACAACTGGTGAAATTTTAATTTTTGCCTTAACTTCCCCTTTAACTTAAACTATTCACAAAGCTTTCAGACACACACACACACACACACACACACACACACACACGCACATGCATGCACGCACCCACAGACGCACACGCACGCACACACATGCACGCGTACAACCACATAACTACATTACATGCTTACAAACGGCACATACGCACACACGCGCACACACACACACACCTTCCTTCCTTCCTCCTTCCTTCTTCCACTGCCATGACTGGCTACGTGGCCCCATGAGGGGCGGACCAAGAGACGTGTTGTACACAGGGCGGGGAACGCCAGACTCAGCGCGCGCGGGCTGCGCGAACAGCGTTACATTTGTGCCTCGCAATATCCTGTGGCCGACGAAAACTGCGCGCACAAGTGCCACAGATGAGGGGCTTCGCCACAGGATCCATGCGGGACTGGACAATAGTGTCGACAGCGTCACGGCAAGTGGCCCGCTATCCCTGTCGACCTTGGACGATGTCACCAAGCTGCTCCAGAGGAACACCAACAGCCATCAAGTCGCACTTTGCGGAGTCCTTCCAGCGCTTATGGGATCCATGCGGTGGACGTTTGGACGGTAACGAGCCGTACAGCAGCTGACGAGGGATTCGATCCTGCATGCGGGACACGTGGCCAAGCCATCGAAGTTGGCAGACTTTGACTTTATCCGCGATCTCCTTCATATCGCCCCACATCTTGCACATCTGGAGAGAGGAGATGTGCTCCTCTATCTGCCAGCCACGATTGACCTTCAGGATGGAACGCACGCACTGCAGATGAAAGGATTCCAGGCAACGGACATCACGCTGCCTAACGGTCCAACTCTCAGAGCCATAAAGAAGGACGGCCAGGACAGTCACTCAATAGACAACGCCCTTAATGGCCATGTTAATAAAGCACACACACACACGCACACACACACATGTACCCGTACACACACATACATACATACACACATGAACACATGCATACACCTTGAACCTTGAACCTTGAACGCCCATTGCCGTAGCAATGATAGCGATGGCTTCCTCACACTGAGGTTCTAGACCCGAAATCTGCAGTATGGCGTATGCCGCTTGAAGTCACCAGGATGGCGGAACACTCTGTCACAGCTTTAGTTGGGGCACGGGATGTCTGGGGCTTCCTTCTCGACCCTCTGTCGACAATACTGAAACCAGACGGATCTCTCTGCGCTGTGTCATACCAGTCCGCTTCAGACAAACCGATGACAGTAAAGTCCGAGGGCACAACATCCCGCCAGCGCATCTTGGGACCATGTTGCGGGCGTTTGCAGGGCAGTTCGCCGACCAGCATCTACTTGGGCAGCCGGGTCTCCTTCATCCGTGCAACGTGACCAAGCCACCGCTAGCGGTGCTCCTGATCACATCAACCATGTCAACGTCCACCCCTGTCAGCTCACTCAGCGATGCCGACGACAATCTCTCCTCCCATTGCTCACGACGAGAGATACCGAGAATTGTGCGAATACACTGATGGTGAAAGGTGTTGAGTCGGCGAATATGACCCGCTTTGATGGGCCATGTCTCCGCGCCGTAGAGAAGAGCAGGAAGGACAATAGCACGATACACCAGCCGCTTGGTGTAGACCGAGAGATGTATGCACTGAAATATCGGAGACCTGAGCACGCCGAACAGGCGGGACGCCTGCGCCAAACGAGCAGCGAAGTCCGCATCCACCGTTCTCTCAGCAGAGAGCACGCTGCCAAGGTACCGGAACCCGTCCACCATGTCAATCCTGCTGTCACCACCGAGTTGAACGGGATCAATTGATGTTGGTTGACCCACAGCCATGCCCTTCGTCTTTCTAATGCTGACGGTCAGTCCCATACGCACACACATAAATACACAGCCCCCCCCCCCTTCCCCCCCCCACACACACCACACGTGCGCGCGCACACACACACACACACACACACACACACAAACACACACACACAAACACACACACACAAACACACACACACACACACACAAACACACACACACACACACATGCACACACTCAGACTCAGACTCAGCCATGCCCTTCGCGGTAGTGATGATAGCGAACAGGTATGTTAGACATAGCAACTTGTGCTGGGATTACACCATTCAACAGCTTACAAGGCTGGTGAATACACACACGCACGCACGCACACACACACACGCACACATACACGCGACGTACAACCTACACTCTACACTCTCTTGCACTGTTATTTACCTCAAGCGTAGTGATTATTTACCCTCTTATTTTGGTTTTCACTCCACCTACGCATGTCATTAGTTCACACTAACTTGACATCTTTGCACTTTCCCCTGTTCCTTGACACATTTATATAATTATTAGTTGTATTCATGGCTAGTTATCATTGTTGAGACGTACTTCCCTGATGAAGGCCTCATGAAAACTGGTTGAGAAAATCTAGAACTCCAAAACGAGAGAGCTTGGAAGCTCAGGGCCCTACGCTATGCTTTTTTGCCTAGCTCATCATGCATGTTATTAGAACTGATGGAATTGTTTTTTTTTCCATTGATTGGCTACATCAAACTTTCTCTTTGCACTCGAGGGTAATACGACACCGTCTACCACCTTGATTTACCTAGACAAAAAAGCATAGGGAAGTTATAAATTTTTCATTTCTCCTGTTTTTTTTTAGACATAACCTGGGATTCTAACCCGCATCGCCCTGCATGCATTCCCCCGATACACTTCGCTTACATTCTCATTCTTCCAAGTTGCTTCATGTTATGATCTTGCATTTGAACGCCCTATTTGAATATTGTGGCCAGCTGTCTTTGATGGTCCGGTACGGGACAGGTACAGGATTGCGCCCGGCATCTTTTCCGTTTGCCGTTCTTCAGCCACAGCTCTCACCTTCATCTCTGGTGCGGGTGTAATCTACTGACTTTGTACATGCGTTATAATAGACCAATCCCTTTGTCTGGGTTCGTGAAAAGGGCCACGCGTGCAAGTCAGCTCGTGTGAAGTGCATGGTGTTTTGTATTTAGTTGGTATGTGGCGGCTTATGGGACAGAGAGACTTTTGCTCCCCGAGCTTGTGTATGTAAATAGTTTTTTTACGTTGAGTATGACAGCTACAATGCCCAACCATACCACAACGAACTGATCGGCTACATCATTGCGTTGCCAAAAAATTCTGTCTGTTCGAATTACATGCATGATAAGCTAGCCAAAAAGAGCATAGCATAGGGCCCTGCGCAAAAGAAGTAGCCTTTCTCTTTGCATTCGAGAGTAATACGACACCATCGACAACCTTGATTACCTACGCAAAACATGGATAGGGATGTTATTTATAAATTGTTCATTTCTCCTTTTTTTCCCCAAGACATAACCTAGGATTAGAACCCGCACTATCGCCCTCCATGCATTCCCCGATACACTTCGCATACAACTCATTCTTCCAAGTTGCTTCACGTTATGATCTTGCATTTGAAAGCCCTATTTGAACATTGTGGCCAACTGTCTTTCGTGGTACGGTACGTACGGGACAGGTAAGGGATAGCGCCAGGCATGCCGATGGCACAAGCAAACAAACAAACAAACACAGAATTAAAGCTGTGTGAACCTTGCATAGCTACGGGAATTAATGTTCTATTTCGTTTTTGATAAGTGCAATGTCCACCTCGCTAATTCTGCTTATGACCACATTAATGTTCATTCAGAGGCATGCATATGCACTATCATCAGAAACCCGCGTGGACCCAGTTACAAGCTCACTCAGCACCAAAACTGCACACTGGTCTGAAAAATAATAAATACCTTCTGGCTAACAAAGCAATATCAAGCAACTGTGGCTGCCTTATAAAAAATAAAATTCTAAATACTGGCCTCCAAGCTCTTACCGCCTGAATTTCTCCATATTCTGGACCCCTTCATACACTGGCATACAAAGTTAGTAACTTTGTCAGTAACTGCTACTGACTCTAACTGTTAACTGTAAAGTCAGTAACTGTTACTGACTAGGCTCCCCCCCCCCCCCCCATGCACATACTCACTAGCAAAAACTCTATCATCACAACTGCGGTAAAAGCAGAGGCATGTACAAATGCTACCAAGAGATGCAGGCTTGTAACCTTTTACCAACTGACTTAAGATCAACCCTGCATTCTGGGAAAACTTGGGGACAAAGCATAGGTCATTAGCTCCAGGGAAACGTCTTTTCTTTTGGCCAGTCCCCTGCCCGGTGTTGAGACATGCATTGGGGTTCTCCAGTACTTGCTGGCAAACAACTTGTCAACTGGCTTGATATTCAGAGTAGTCTACATCCGGCTGCCTTACTTGGGAGTGAGTTGTACATCATATTGAAGGTTAGTACATTACTGATCGATAAAGCATAGGGTTATCTGGTCATGTGTGTTACCTTCATACAGGACGGTGACCTTCCTGTTCATGGTGCTGCCTTCAATGGACGTCTGGAATTCATCAAGTACCTACTTGATCTCCAACCAGACACGATCTCTGTAAAGAACAACGTAAGTTGAGCAATCTCTACCATTGACTCTCCTTACTGTAGTCAGTTACTCTTACAGCACTCTTAAGGATCACTGTGCTAGCTGTATGTCTATTGGTGGGAATATCAGGCTGAAACAACAGCAACCTCACCAATCATTTGCTCCAAAAGTACCTGTGACTATTGGTGACTCTCCTACCCGGCACTGATACCTGCATAAAGCACCTGCCATATACCGACATCGTAGTAATTCTGCAACTTCTAGCACTTCTGACACCATGTAGTATTCAGGTTCTTTAGGAATTAGGATACTATTGTATTGTTGATTCACAGGCTATATGAAAGAGAAACCTTTTTTAAATGTGGCATCAGCAGACCCCCAGCTGTAAGAGGTACTACGCAGGCGTGTACATGTGGCGGTACACGTAACTTGTGTACACGTTATGTAAGGGTTACACGTGCTCAAGAGAAACGCATAATACATAGCATGACACGACAAGTACCACAGCTGTCACTATTGGGCTAACTTTTACACGTTATGACTAATCAGAATCATGCTTATAATTCTTAGAGCTGGGTAACTACAGATAACATGTAAAACTTTAGTCACAGTAGGTTATACATCATAATTGTGTAAGATACAGACTGTAGATTGATAACACATGCGAATGTCTTGTTTTGTCTTTACCTGCACACAGGACGGTGAGCTTCCTGTTCATCGCGCTGCTTTGAACGGACATCTGGACGTGGTCAAGTATCTAGTAAATCTCCAACCCGACACGGTCTCCGTAAAGAACAAAGTGAGTCGAGCAGTCTCTGTCACTGTATTGGTCCTGATTACACACTCCAAGAGTGTGACATTTGGCAAATGACTGACTACATGGTACATTCCCTATATCATGCAGGTCACTTTTCCATTGCATAATTATTATGTAAGTGTTTGTGTTTGTGTTTCGAAGACACTGTCATTCATAGCGAGGCGCTATTGTGTTGCAATAGATTTTCTGGTAGTAGCTAGGAGGAACATTTCCAGCTAATCAATCAGAGTAGTCTATATTAGGATCCCTTGACTGACAGTAGATTGTACATCATAATGGTATGTAAGATACAGACTGCAGATAGATAATACATATATTGAGGTATGATCTTGTCTTTGCCTGCACACAGAACGGTGACCTTCCTGTTCATTACGCTTCTCGGGGTGGACGTCTGGAAGTCGTCAAGTATCTACTAGATCTCCAACCCTACACAGTTTCCGTGAAGGGAATTGTGAGTCAAATATTCTCTGGCACTGTAATTATTATGGGTGTATAACACAAGAGTGTGCAACTTTGGCCAATGACTGACTAGAATCTAGATTCCCTACATCAGCCCGCATCGAAAAAGTCCTTAGTTTCGTGTAACCAGACCGACCTCTGTTTTGAGCACAGACCGATTCTTCTTTGTTGTATGCACTCATGCATATGTACATCATACGCATGTGGATATACATGTACGTGCTCGCACTTCAAGTTGTGCCAAAGCCAAGGATCTTTCTTCCTGCTCCTGGTTATGCTCTGGCCGGCTAGACATTCCGGTCCTTTGTTTCGAGTAGACTCGATTGAGTCGGATTTGTTGCATGGTGGTTCTATTTGCCAAACGTAACGTGTTCGACACTGACATAATTTAGTTTAGAGATTTTAATGTCAAAACGTTTCCGTCACTATGCTGACGGCGGCTGGACCGTCCTCAACAGCTGCATTGTTCAAGTTACGTACCTGGAGCAATTGTTTGGCTACTCTTCATCCAGAAGACGTCACTCACTTCAAAGCGGTATTTACTTCTGAAACCGGGTCATGCCGCAAGGGTGCTTGCAGGAGTTAAAGGGGAAGTATACCCTAAAATCAAATTTTCACCAGTTGTAGTCTTCTGGGTGCTGAGTCGAATGGTCTTGGTCCGAGGAAGCTGCGACGCTCCCTTCCTACTTGAATCCCAATCGAACTCGCGCACTTCCACCGAAACTGGGTGACTGCGCCCTACGAGATGGGGATTTGTATGCAAAATGTCACTAAAAGCGCCATTTCGTTCTTACTAAAGCACGGATGACCGCGATTGGCCCATATGTTGTAGTCTTTTGGACGCTGAGTCGACTGGTTTTGGTCCGAAAAGGCTGCGATGCAGCGTTCCTCCTTTATTCCCAATCGAACATGGTTGAACAAGCGGTCACGTGCTCCTGGGTGCCCAAATCACCTGGTCACCGCGCCAGCAGGCGACAACTTTCACACCAAGGTTCAACTCGAGTTCAACTCGAGTGACAGGACTGCACCCAAAAAAGGTCAAACAGGCTAGTAAGTTGTACCCTGCAGGCACGGTGACCAGGTGACTGGTGTACGCAGGAGCACGTGACCGCTTGTTCAACCATGTTCGATTGGGAATAAAGGAGGAACGCTGCAACGCAGCCTTTTGGAACCAAAACCAGTCGACTCAGCGTCCAAAAGACTACAACATATGGGCCAATCGCGATCTTCCGTGCTTTTATAAGAACGAAATGGCGCTTTTAGTGACATTTTGCATACAAATCCCCATCTAGTAGGGCGCAGTCACCCAGTTTCGGTGGAAGTGCGCGAGTTCGATTGGGATTCAAGTAGGAAGGGAGCGTCTCAGCTTCCTCGGACCAAGACCATTCGACTCAGCACCCCGAAGACTACAACTGGTGAAAATTTGATTTTAGGGTATACTTCCCCTTTTATAATGTAGGACTTTAATTGGAGTTCGGACGATGATTCTTTTTCTTTGGGTTGAAGCAACAGGAAGATGTAGTTCCTGGCCCGCCACGGTTGCTGAACGATGTGTTGATGCCCAACGTCTTGGAGATCTGCTGTGCGCGGTGTCTTAGTTTACGACCAGTTTGACTGTTCTTTTTTACTCTCTTTCTCACTCCTGTGTGCAGCCACACCATATATTCTCACAGCCCTAACACACCTCACTCACACGCACGCACCCCCCCCCCCCCCACCCCCCACACACACGCACCATCAACAACAATCAACCCTCTCTTCTGCGGGGACAGCAGCAACAGCAAGAAGAAAAAGAATACTCGGGATCCCTTGTCTGCTAGCCCACTCTTGCCAGCACTGAAATGTCGATGAATACTTGGTCACCGTTCCCAGTGCCCTACTCGCCAGCATGACTTCTAGAATCTTCCTGGATAGGTTCATGAGTTCCTGGGTTGCGTTTGAACCGCCCTCAGCTCTAGGCATGAACACAAGATCATAATGTGAGGAGCCTGTCAGCGACGTCGTCAGCGTTAGCATTGGCTTCAGCATCTACAGCAGCTATCAGCATCACTTGAAGAGAATTACGCGCTCATTACCAATGGGGACTCTGAGCCACCATGTTGGTCAGCAACAGCATGAGCAGCAGCATCTTCCCGCCCTGCGAGCTACGACATCGTCATTGGCATCACCAGCAGCATCCACCCACCTTGCGAGCAATGACATTGTCAGCGGCATCTGCCTCCTGCCTCCAGGCAACGATGTTCCCTGAACACCAATATAGGACAATGCCTCGCGCACCGTGCACTCACATGTGTTCGCGCCACACAGCCATCGCAATTGTGTCAGTACACAAATCAGCAACTGTTATTCCTCACGCACAGTCTTAAAGCCAGCATTTCTGAAAATTAATGCTTGCCCCTCCCCCAGCAAGTTGTGAGGGCAGATACTTTCGAGAAACGTGCTTTCCTCATGGGGTAGCATTATGTGCCATGGCTGCAGAACATGTTTAACCCATTCAGCGCTACTGGGCCTTGCCTATGGTACTCTGCATATAAAATGCTAAAAACAAGGCAAATAGAAAGTTCTAAAACTCCAGGGTTCTGGCAACTGGTGTCCTCAAATATTTTGGAAATGATTGCCAAGGCTATCAACCACAGGGTGACAGAATCGATACAGTCCCCGAAAAGAAAAGCGCTTCACAATAGGGGACGCAAGTCTGCTCAAATTGCGTGAAATACGCTAAATGTGTGCAATTGCAGCTGAAAGATCGCTAAAAAGAGAAGAAAAAAAGACGCATACTGTTACCAAGCGGGATTCGTACCAACAACCTATCGTACTAGAGGCAGGACCATGATCCAACTGACTAACAGTGCTTTTACACACCAGACAGTGACAGAAATCATTATATCCCATGACGTCTATAGACGTCATCCCGCGCATGGGGGGCATTTTCAATGACGTTTATAGACGTCATCAGCGTTCAATGGGTTAAAGGGGAAGTATACCCTAAAATCAAATTTTCACCAGTTGTAGTCTTCGGGGTGCTGAGTCGAATGGTCTTGGTCCGAGGAAGCTGCGACGCTCCCTTCCTACTTGAATCCCAATCGAACTCGCGCACTTCCACCGAAACTGGGTGACTGCGCCCTACTAGATGGGGATTTGTATGCAAAATGTCACTAAAAGCGCCATTTCGTTCTTATAAAAGCACGGATGACCGCGATTGGCCCATATGTTGTAGTCTTTTGGACGCTGAGTCGACTGGTTTTGGTCCGAAAAGGCTGCGATGCAGCTTTCCTCCTTTATTCCCAATCGAACATGGTTGAAGAAGCGGTCACGTGGTCCTGGTTGCCCAAATCACCTGGTCACCGCGCCAGCAGGCGACAACTTTCACACCAAGGTTCAACTCGAGTGACAGGACTGCACCCAAAAAAGGTCAAACAGGCTAGTAAGTTGTACCCTGCAGGCACGGTGACCAGGTGACTGGTGTACGCAGGAGCACGTGACCGCTTGTTCAACCATGTTCGATTGGGAATAAAGGAGGAACGCTGCATCGCAGCCATTTCGGACCAAAACCAGTCGACTCAGCGTCCAAAAGACTACAACATATGGGCCAATCGCGGTCATCCGTGCTTTTATAAGAACGAAATGGCGCTTTTAGTGACATTTTGCATACAAATCCCCATCTAGTAGGGCGCAGTCACCCAGTTTCGGTGGAAGTGCGCGAGTTCGATTGGGATTCAAGTAGGAAGGGAGCGTCTCAGCTTCCTCGGACCAAGACCATTCGACTCAGCACCCCGAAGACTACAACTGGTGAAAATTTGATTTTAGGGTATACTTCCCCTTTAAGATTCTCAAAACCCTGGGTATTAGGTGGAACGGTGGTGTAAGCCACACAATTTCTGTTGACCTATCAACCATAAAAGCATCGATCTCATCACATCCCGGGTTCCACCACCATGAACAGAAATGCTTTATCTGTTTCGTCCTCAGACTTGTGAAGCAATCTAGTGTATGGGGACCTCACAAACGCTCGATTTGTTCAAAAACAGCCGGGCTCAGCCGTCAGTCATCTGTGTCAACTATTTTCGAATAATAGTTCTCGAGTCCATTTTGCTCTCTGGCCACCCATCCGGCAATCAGGCAGATTCTGTGCTTCATGCGCACCTGGAGGATTCGCATGGTTTCCCGTTGCAATCTTCCAGTTCATCATTCGGCTTGCAGCTCTTATACAGACAGCAATTATTCTATGTGACAAGACTCCCATGTATATCTGCAAAATACTGTTAGAATGGTTTCTTTTAGAAAACACAGCACAAAATAATGAACACATAACTGTAGAGAATAAAAATATAATTGTGTGTACTCATATCACAACCATAGCGACGAATAAAGTATTCCAGGACGTTCGCATTCGTGACCCAAATCTTTGTAAACAAAAAGAAAATGTCACCGCACTTACACTCTTCCATTACATTCACACTCACATGCACTTGAACATGCCTGTACATTGCCACACTGCACTTGCTGAATTTCCTATCATTTCTCACCTATATAGTTTTTATTACCAGTGCAAATTGTTCCGAAGGTTGTGCAATTTTTCTTACATTTCTTGTATCGGCACAGTGGGTTGGTCTAAGACCATGATTGAGAAACGAGAGGTACTTAGGCCTTGGGCCTATGGTTGGTGGATCTGATCTATCCTCCCCCACCAATTAGGAGCCGCATCTGAGGCCTGATCATGGGGTGGTGGCGTCCCACGGAAGCGGAAAGGTGGTTCTTGACCAGGGAGTTGCACGACTCCTTGTTCTTGACCTGCCCGTTACGCGAACCCGTCAAATTCGTGTATCCTCATGTTGTTTCACTCCAAGTGTATAAATCCTATTGTAGTTTCATCATTGTCTTTCGTCACGAATTCCATTGATAATTGTGACAAGAAAATGTTCTGAAATACTTTTTTCGTCGCTATGGTTGTGATATGAGTGCGCATATAGTTTTATTCATTGCATTATTAAGATTATTGTCTCCACGTCGCCTTTTTACATAACTGTAGAGCACGAGAATACAGTACAATTATTGTGGATCGCTCTGGTCATAGATGGCAACATTGCTTTCAGAGATATGGGAAAGGGTTGCTTGATGTTGACCGCACAGGATCCATCCATTCCACGATATGGCAATTGTCATCAATTCCAGTAGAGTACAGGCACTCGTGCTATCAACATGTCGGTTTGGTTGTTTCTGCTATGGCTGTGTTTAGGATGGGAGAACTCCTCTTGGTCAAGCAGTGTACGGGAAGAAAGTAGATTGTGTACCCTACTTGCTGGAAGTCACCTGGACCAAGCTAGCATATGATGAGGTAAGAGTTGAAAAAAGTAGGTTGTGTGATGAATAGGTCTACCAGTTTTGTCTGTGAAAACATGCTCGGTTACTGTGAAAACCTTTGCTCTGGAACTACTCCCCCCCCCCTCACCTGGACAAGTTCTTATCAGTTTGATATGATTGTTGTTCCTGAAACACGTAGCTTTACATAAGGTTGGATAACATAGACGATCTCTATGGAAGCCGATTGGAATATGATGAAAGAGTACTTTCTGCAGATTAAATGCGTTAGAAAAGACTAGCATGCGTTTTTCTCTAGTCTCTTTCCTCACTGTCTACTTCAAGGTGTGTTGAGTGTCATCATCGTGTACAGTGCATCTCTGTTTACCCTTCACTTTAGTCAACTTCTTTTGAGCATGATGCTAAGTATTGAGCAGTGACAGAATGTTCTATTATTTCTTACTGTGTACCTGTGCTATATACGGTGTAAGAAGTAAAATGGCGGGTGTGTTTTCTGTGGTATTTTGGATATGTGATGGTTATTGTGACTAGTGAAATTGATAACAGTGAAGAGTGTATCGCTATACAAATATTGGTTCTATGTTTCCAATCCAGGCAAAGGAGATTGTGGAGGAAGCCAGAAAGATAGCTCAAACCTACGGAAAAACGCAAGCATTGGACTTGATTAAGGTGAAACATGTCGTTAAAATTATAGGATTACTAACTCTTTGCTTGTGGATGACAGGAATGAATAATTGGTACGAGTTGGGAGTAATGACCTACCGATGTAACCAGATCAAATAGAAATACAGTTAGAAGCTGTGACAATGCACAAGACTGACAAGATTCTGAGACATTCAACACTCTGACACCTAGGTCCAACATATCTCCAAAGCGAAAAGCCAATAACGTTCAAAGGTGGAAAGCTCAGGTTAGGGAAGGCCAATGAGGAGACGTTCAGCGCAAACAGCATGATAACAAGTAATAGTTACATCTCACATGCTAACGGCGGGGTTGTGGGGGTGGGTAGGGTAGGTGTGGTGGTGGGTGGCGGGCGGTTGGAGTAGCATTGATCCTTATTGGAGACAGGAGAGAACAGGAGAAGCCCAAGATTGCGTTACATCAACACGCACAATTCGAGTAGGGAACGAGAGGGAGGATGAGAGAGAAGGAACGAAAAGCAGTGAAAGAACGAAAAGCAGTGAAAGAACGAAAAGCAGTGAAAGAACGAAAAGCAGTGAAAGAATGAAAAGCAGTGAAGAGGTAATGCAAGTGAGGGTGAAAGAGAGAAAAAGAATGGGAGAGGTCTTTCTAGATTTTTTGATGAATTCACTCAAAAACATTGCAATGATGAAGTGAATGATGGACAGAGAGCTGGCAAGATCACTATCAATGTCCCTGTTGATCGTCATTCGGGTCTCCAGGCAACAATTGACAGCCATGTATTGATAGAACCCGCAACTCACTCAGGGATAACCCTATAATTGTATTGTCACAGCAATGGGATACCTGGTCGGAGCTGATTGCTCACAATCACCAGCAGTGGTAGGCACTGAAATTGGCTATTGAAATGTTCTGGCTAAGAGCAGATCATCCAAGAGTAACAACAGAGGTCACGGGGAAGAGTAGATCAGGATCGCAAGGGACGACAGAGTCACTATACAATGACAAGATATGAGCCCCGGCCAGCGAAAACCAGCACTTGTGTACTTGATATCAATCATCAAAATGTGACGTCAAAGTTTGGGACGCGCAGTGAGCTGGCTTTTGAAGATTCTTTTTCGATCGAGTGGGTGTCTTTGTTGTCAAAGGAGTTTCAAGTGTCTTCAAATGTCTCTGGTCAATTGATTTTAGCGCTAGGTGAGAGCTCGTCACACGGAGGTTGAGTTTAGACACAGCGATGGCGACAGGTGTCGCGACAAAGACTTAGGTCCAGAGTTGTCAGCGCGAGACTCCCTGTACGGAGCGGCGCTGAAAGTTAGTTCGCGATCGGAATTATTTGTTTGGTGGCGATCTTGCTGAGCTTGTCCAGCAGTGGCGAGTCTCATATGCATAGCAACGAAGAGCCCTCATAAAATCGACACTGGATACTGGTGGCGACGATAGTCAGTGCTGGAGTAATAGCGACTGCGAGGAGAAGCAGAATGTCGTCCCGCTGAGCGATCCGTATTTCTACATCGACAACAATGATGCTGCAGACACTGATGGAGGGCTTCTCACGGCGCAAAACAGAGCGTAGTATTATCAGTGCTCTACCTTGCCAGATGACGCCAAGCTGGCTGCAGCCTGTGATGAGAAAGGGATCCCTAAAAACTCAAACCGGCTGAACGCTTTGGGGCAACATCTTCACGTGCTACAAAACGCGAGTATTCGCTCATATCATTGAAACACAATTATGCTGAAATCATGGTCTGAATGAAAGTGTGCAAGAGAGTGGATGTCTGTGGTATTGGTGAGCACATCTATCAGTATGGCAAGCTTTGTCACAACGCTCTAACTGCCAGCACAGAGGTCCCTGAACACAATTTGGAAGGCCAGCCACCAATCATCCGCGTTTTGCACTCTGGTGTTGTAAAGAAGGTAGTGATGTATACGGAATATCGTCACACTTCTGAACAACTCATGCCTGCAGCACCAAGAGGGCAAGCCTGATTTGCATTCTATTTACTTACATGTACCTGTTCCACATCACAATCAGAAACTGTAGGATCAACTTGCATGGAATCACTAGGCATGGATGCTGCGCCAACTGTACGGAATCTTGACCTGTGTGACTTCAAACTCTATTTTCCATGCTTTCGCTTATCAGATTGTCATCAAACTTGATAACTTGAATGATTAATAGTGTAGAAACAATTTCGAGGGAAAAAATAATTTTTGAAAAAATTACACATGTTCAGGTTTCTGCTGGCTGGGGCTCATATATGGGGTGCAATGAGTGTCGAATGTCACCATTTGGTGGAAGCCAAAACTGGAGACATATTTCTCTTCTAGTACTGTCGGTGTTGTAGCAAGCAGAGCAGTCAGATTAGTGATCATTCATTTCTGCTGCGGGCACCGACACAGAGTGTGGATAGCTAATGTGAGAAATTCTCCTCTAAAATCTCATTGAATTCCTGGACAGACTGTGTTGAGTTGTGTGTGATTATGGTGATTGACACTATACGAGTGTGCTCCCTGAGCCCACTATGGACTCATACATCAATTGCCCTAATAATTGGGTTGAAATACTGGTTACATTGAACAACCTGACAGCAACTAGCCTACTGTCAGATGTAAGATGGTGTCTAGTGTCCAGTGTCTAGTGTCTAGTGTCTAGTGTCCAGTGTCCAGTGTCCAGTGTCCAGTGTCTAGTGTCTAGTGTCTAGTGTCTAGTGTCTAGTGTCCAGTGTCCAGTGTCCAGTGTCCAGTGTCCAGTGTCCAGTGTCCAGTGTCTAGTGTCCAGTGTTTAGTGTCTAGTGTCTAGTGTCTAGTGTCTAGTGTCTAGTGTCTAGTGTCTAGTGTCTAGTGTACATGAATGTCCAGCTATGTGGATATACTGTAATATCTACAGTTGCGCTCAGTGAAATTCGACCCGTGTCCATATTTGGTAATCTCAACTTCCACGACCCTGGGTGTCCTGGAAGTGGCACGAATGCAGCTGCATGTAAATATCCGCAATACTACTTGTATATTCACAACTGATCGAGGGCGTCGCCGGCTTTGCAATTTTGGTGGAATTTCACAGAGCGACACTGTAGTTCTAGACAGTGTTCAACTTACACGCTTTGGGTATTGTTGTTGTGTGCTGCATTTGTATGCTCCAGACCAGCTTGATCTATGCAGAGTTTGGTATTGAGGGTTACACTGATCCTACTGAACTGATTGCCAACGTGTGTGGAGTAGAAGGTTCAGGAAAATCTACCTTCATTGCATCCTTCACAGCAGAAGGTTTCTTCAATAGACTACTACGTCAGGAGAATCAACCGGACTTGAAGGCAAAAGATTTAGCATCCCGAACAAAGGTGAATTGATAGCAATGTAGAATGCACAAAGTGCTGCAGGTTTTAATTTGGATGAATGCATGAATGTTAGTCCAAATTGTTAGTGACAAGTTTTGTTTCATTCCAAATAAGCACAAATCAACATGAACGGGGAAGTGCAGAATGTAGGTGTTATGAACCCTATCAAAAACGCTAAGCCAATAACAAGGAGAAAGAGAGGTAAACAGAGCCGGGAAGAGTGACTGGTGAAATGTTCATGCTGGTGTCTGCAAGTGTCGTGTGGTCTTATCTGGTCACAAGACAAATTTACCACTACTAGGAAATGACAGACGAAATGAAGATTGCATCAGCAATCTACAAATTACCACCCAGACAATTGTGGATATATAACGGATAAAGTCATCGTGGTATGCGGTATACATGACTGAAGGTACTTTGATTATTGGTTGTCGATTGGTTCTATTTCTATCAGTGTTGAAACGAGTGTACCTATAACAAACGAGCGATCAGTTCCACTAACGAGCAAGCTATTGAGCGAGCTAAGGAGCTTCGTTGACATGGCAAAATATAATTTTTTTAAATATTTTTTTCTAAGTTCGATATATTCAGCTGGTTCAAATTATCACCCCCGGCATTTGGCGTTGCTGCTGCTTCACTTCGGACAGCTGTTTGGTGTCGAGGTGTTTTTCAGCGCCGTCATCGAGCAGCCTTTGAAAGAATAGATCGTTTTCAAAGATTGCAAGTAGCCCTGTTCTTCGCTGCATCGCGGGAGAAAACTTCCAAACGACTGAGCGTAACTTTCACTCGAATGGAGAGTTGACAGAAGCATGTCCTGCTACAGGTCAGCAGGTGCAGAACAAGACATCAGTGGAGTCCACCAAAGCTGCAACGACAACTGAAACAACTCAAGTGTCGTGCAGGCATACAGTCACTGTAACTGCGAGTGATTTTCACTTTGCGCGGAACTGGACTCTCGATCGACCAGGGAGTCGTAAAATATTCTGCGATTCCCCGGTCGACATGTACTACCATGTGTACAGAGCACGGTGTACGGTGTTCGTTAGCGCAAACGAGCTGGCCGCACTAGCGAGCTGAGTTTCTGGCGAGCGAGCTAACGAGTACCCGTTGAGATTGTTTCAACACTAATTTCTACTGTAGTATCAATAGCTGATTATATTGCTATGTAAGTATGTTATATACACATAGTATTACTACCAGAACTACCGTACTGGCGCGATTAGAGCCCTCTCTCGAATAGCGGCCAAGTTTGGTTTTCTTTTGCTAACTTTCTTGTCCATGTCACCTTACTGGTGGTTTCAGGATCAAAATCACAATTCTTGTTGCCATTTCTGGGGAGTCGTGATAGTTTAGAGTGAACATTAGGCTCTGTTTTTGTTTTTTGCCTTCTTTGCTTTTATCATGGGTAACGTAATGTGCCAGTATTGAAAGATAGTGCCCCCTAGTGCCCCCCCCCCCCAGGGGCACTGGGGGGCACTAATCGCGGGAGTACAGTATTCTGTTGCTGTAGAACAGTGTGGTTGCAGTGACCTAAGTATGATTCATACACTGTTCTCTTTCTCAGGGCACATTAATTTTGATTTTTTATCTGTTCCATATAGGGAATTGAAGAAACCATTTACAACCAATCGCAGGTGAAGGTGCATTTTCGCGACTTTGCTGGCCAAGAGCATTACACCGAGTCGCATGACATATTCACGGTTGCCATGACAGCACCATCTGTTGCCGCAATAGTGGTGGACGGCACAGCGTGTGTTGATAAGATCACACAGACTGTCAGCGCAACCGCAGCCAATATTGTTTGTCGCCTGTCTGCACCTGATGATGGTAAGTGATAAGCAATGAATGATTTTCTTGCATGTCACATGATCCATTCTCGCAATTTTGAACACTGCAACTAAATCCCAACCTGCAACCACAAAGTTAAAACGAAAGGCACAAACCGTTTCAGTTTCCTGTTCAATCATAACTTTTCTCTGCAGAAAACGAGCAACAGTTGATCACCAGCCTGCCCTGGTTCCCATATCACTCAAACTAGTTATACAGTTACATGATCTTGGGATGGAGAGACATGCCACCTACTCCATTTGGTATACAAGCGGAAAATGGGAATTCTATGCTGTCCGGGATTGATTAGCTGCGTAATCATGGACTGGTATTCCTTGTTATTGGCAATTGTGTCACTTTGTCTTCGTGAATTATCAGGCTCTCTACAGACTGAGCAACAAGACCAGCAGCACCACCAGCAGCAGACGCAGCCGCAGCAGCAACAACACCAGGAAGAACTGCAACAGGCGCAGAGAATTGATGTCATTGCGATTGCCACGCGAGCTGATAAGCTAACACCTGAAGAGTGCACTGAAGTGGAGAAGGCCATAAGGAGGGGAATGAAATCATTCTCTCAGCACTTGGATCTCTGCTTTGTGAAAGTAGTGGACGCTAGAAAGTCCAACAGTTACAGCATGAATGATCTAAGGAGAGATTTCATGCACTTGGTCCATCGAGTGTTGGCGGTAAGATTTCTTCTTTGGCCGAATTTGATAACCTTTCTCTGTCTTGAGTGTTGGTCGAGTAGCTGGTCGAGTAGCCCCCCCCCCCCCTCCCCCCCCCCCCCCACAAGGATGCGCTTTACAGAACTGCTATGCATTTAATTGTTTTCTGGTACAATGCAAAATGAAAATATCACCACTCAGTAGGCCTATATTGCCCTGTCAATACACTGATGTTGATCGGAAAAGGCGCAGCACCATATTGGTCCTATATTTCTATTCACATTTGCGCTGTCCTGCCGAAATGTGAAGCGTGTGACCCGCAAGATGTGTGTTTGTATGGAAACTGCTGACCAACTCTCACACAGTACATTGGTGCATCAGTCATGCACATACTAGAGTGACGGGTGCAAAGACAGTTAGTACTAATTGATATTGTGAGTGTGAAGAAGAGGCTGGTGCGACTTCGGCGATACTTGGGGAATTGTGTGTTGCTGCATACGTAGTAGCTAGTGCTTTCCCTGCCGACTTGAATTCTCACTTGACTGTTTCACGACTGCCATCCAGGGCACACAAGAAGTCCATGGAACCGTCCACTCGGCAAACCTGCAAGAAAGCACCACTCCCTGCAGGCGCGTGCTCGGCGATGGGCACGGGGGGCACGTGCACCCCCCAAAAATTTTCAATCTGGGTAATTGCAATTGTAATGTATGCAAATATGCTCTAAAATTCAAGAAAGGTTGCAAACAAATTGCAGAAAATTGCCGGGGGGGCTCCCCTCGGCTCCCGTGCACCCCCCTAGTTGGGGGGCCGAGCACGCCCCTGCCCTGCTCAATACACAGTGTGTCGGGGAATATAACCCTCATCAGTTGAGCTTGAGTAGGCTGAGGAATATTATGTCTGAAAAGCACCACTTATATAGTCCTCTCCAGGCCAAATCATCACCAGGGATACAAACTTACAGAGACACTCCATTTCCAGCGCGGCAAACACCACGTGAACACCAGATAGCAGCGTGAGTCAGTGTCGCTCATGGAGGTGCTGAACAAACGCTGAGAATCGTTGGCGACTCACAACATTGTTGCTTCCAAACCAACAAATTCGCAAGCCCGCACTGGGGTCAACAATGTTCAGCACCTCCATAAGCGACACTGACTCACGCTGCAATCTGGTGTTCACGTGGTGTTTGCCGCACTGCAAATGGAGTGTCTTTGTAAGTTTGTATCCCTGGTGATGATTTGGCCTGGAGAGGACTATTTAAGTGGTGCTTTTCAGACACAATCTTCTTCAGCCTAACCAAGCTCAACTGATGAAGGGTGAATTCCCCGAAACACTGTGTATTGAGCAGGGAGTGGTGCTTTCTTGCAGGTTTGCCGAGTGGCCGGTTCGATAGACTTCTTGTGTACCCTCGATGGCAGTCATGAGCCAGGCAAGTGAGAATTCAAGTGGCAGGAAAACAGCGGGCTCCCATGTATGCAGCAACACATAATTCCTTATAAGAAGTTCTGAGCAAATCCACACAGATACAATGTTAGTGTTGTATTGTACAAGAACATACTAGGTTTCTCGTGTGCTCTGTATGACAGTCGTGGGTCAGTGAAGTGTCAAGTCAAGTCGGCGGAAAAGTGCGAGCTCCCGTGTGGCAAGCAAACGCTTTCACATGCCGCTACCACTAATTCGCACTTTTTCAACTTTGACTACAGAAATCTCCCAAGCAACCACGTTTGCTGCAGAAGGCTCGAAAGCATTTGGATGAGGTTCAGGCATCTATGCCCAATCAATACTGCTCAAGAGATGAGTTTGGGCTGGCATTCCACAAGGCAATTCAAGGAACCGACACTGCACCGCCAGAACGATTCGCTGACAGATATCTACGCATCTTGAGTGCATATGGATATGTAAGAGCAATGCATGCATAGAAATGATGACATGTGATGATGAATTTCTGTGTGTACATAGAGAATGATTTCCTTGTTCACCCTGAGGTTTGATATGCTCAAAGCCCATTATGACTTCAAGCTTTGGAAGGCTTTGCCGGCTGGGTGCCCTTATAACCTGCACAATGTGTTGCATTCAATATATCACTCCTGTCGTGGCCCAACTCGAATGAGTTGCCAAACACGTAATACTGCCAATTTGGGAAAAAATAGAACTGAGTTACACTGAGAACATCATGAACCGCACACACACACATGCGCGCACGCTCGCACGCACGCCCACACACACACACACGCACGCCCGCACACACACACACGCACACACACACACACACACACGCACGCACACACAGCACATACACATACACACCCACACACATGCACACACACACACAACACACAACACACTGCACACACGCACGCCGACCCGCCCGCGCGCAAGCGCACGCACGCCCATGCACGCACTCATGCGCGCGCACACACACGCACACACAACACACACGCACACACAACACACACAGCACACTAAAATTCAATGGTGCTCTAGCTAATGAAGCTCTTTGGAGGAGAATGTAACCTAAAACTGGTTGCTGTATGCACACCAATAGCCCGTTAGGTTGTATATTTGAGCTTTATACAATAGATATTGGGAGTCAAAACTTAACTTCAGTTGTCCCTCTCTAATTCGCCACCTTTTGCAGCAGCATTTTCTGCTGGATAAACAAGGGTGCTGGATTATCAAATCCTGCTCTCCAACCCGGCCCACCTACAAACATGTTTGTGTTAAAATTCAAAACACAGAGATTTCTGTGTCAATCTAATTACTTTGTGGAATGCATGTCTATACAGTACATAGGATAGTTCCAAGGGTATGTTACATGTGTAGAAAGCTACATGATAAGTTAGTTCATGCATGTCATGCACTCACCAAACTAACATAGCTGTGCACGGGTAAGGTATGCGATGTACAACTGTTGGATTATAAAATCGAAATATGTACAGTTGGAGCGATTTGTTGCAGAAAATCGCTACGGGAGCCGCAATTCAAGTGCCGGATTAAAACGTCAAAACTGAACTGAAAAATCCGTTTCGCCGGAAAATGGGCTGGTTTGCAAGAGTTCTGGATAAACAAGTGCCGGATAAGAGATAAGAGAGGGAAATAGACGTTTCTTTGTACTTGATCTACATTTCTGTTGTGTTTATTTGTACGTGTGTGTGTGTGTATGTGGGTGTGTGTTTGTGTGTTTGTGTGTGTATGTGTGTGTATGTGTGTGTGTGTATGTGTTTGTGTGTGTGTGTGTTTGTGGGTGTATGTGTGTGTATGTGTGTGTGTATGTGTGTGTGCGTGTGTGTGTGTGTGTGTATGCGTGTATGTGGTATGCCATTGATACTGCTAAAGGTCATCACATTCCCAGAGCTGAATGATCTGGTGGTTCATCAGCCTCGCTGGCTCCTGCAGGACGTGATCGGGTTTATGTACTCGTCCAACGTCTTCCCCCACCGCCCTGATGGCATTGCCAGGGAATACAAGATGAGTGAAGAGGAGTTCGTCCGTTCACTGACTTCATTCGCCAAAGTAGGAGAAAAAGCTCCGCTCTGCGTGCGTATGGTTCTACAGCTCGGCTTGTCCATCCGCTATCAGAAGGATATCCTTGCTCTCTCCCTGTTTCCCGAGTGCACACAGCCATTGAAGGTGCACACAGCCTTCATGACCTCACAAGTGATGGTAGGGTCTGTGTACACCTGCAATGGCTGTGTGCCATTCTCATCTGGTCTCATTGTTCAATGCCAAGCACGTGTATACGACTACTCCGCCTGCTTTTTCGCCAGTACTGATCCCATGTTCTTCAAGAACACCATCATTGTCCACCCGTATCCGCACACAACAGCGCTGATTGTGTTTTCGTCCGACCGTCAGCGCTGTTGTATTGCAGTGACGTCCAGTTGCGGTACGTACCTGCAAGTGGTTCACCACGTCCACTGGTTATTTCAAGATCTCTTCCATGACCTACTGAAGAGATACAGTCGTGGTACTTCGGTAGAGCCCACAGTACTCAGCCTGTGCAGCATGCGTCAGCTTATCCAGCAATCGGCTTCACCAGCTGCCATCTGTCCAGTGGTTGCTTCCTACCCGTCCGAAGCCGTCATTCTTGCCGCAAGCAGTGTGCAAAGCAAAGATGTCAAGGACGCCAGCGGTGTGTTCGTTGACTCGGTGCAGCATCTTCATCACGTTCCTGCCACGCACGTCAGTATGCTTCCTGCCACATGTACTGATCGCCTGGAGAGCCTGCGAGATTCCGCATTCCTTAGCGATCTCCAATCAAGCCTAGATGTGAGTGAGAGGGAAATCAGCCGGCTTGGTGGCCCCCAATCAGTGTCACCCGCTGGACCCAGTCGGCTGAATGCCTCGCTGGTGTTGTTGGCATGGTGCCGACAATCTCATCGTCACACATCTACTGTGCTATACAGCAGGTTAGCTCAGCACTGCTTTTCTCCACCATTCTCCATTTTCTACCGAGAGATCTGCAGGATGCTGGTGGAGAATGAGAACATGGTGAGCGGAATAAGAATTTTTTAAAGTTTTCAGTAACTATGAATCTCTGCTGTCAATATTCATAAACAAAATTACAAATTTGCTTGAATGAGAACGTGTTTTGTTTGATCATATCAAAATTGAATATCATGAACTTGTAGTTTGTATTCTTCTCCTTATGAAGCAAGAAGTTTTAGATGATATCAGTCATTCGCAACAATGCATTGAAGATAATATCTGTTTTCACTTGGTACAATTTCTATAACTAGATTTCACTTGGTAAAATGTCCAGAACAACCTTGGCTAGACTACAAAATAATTTAAGTTTTCTAGCCTCTCAAGGAACCTAAGTTATGCAAAGCTAAGTGTGTGTGTATGTGTGTGTGTGTATGCGTGTGTGAATGTGTGTGTGTGTGTGTGCGTGCGCGCGCGCGTGGGTGTGTATGAGTTTGCATGTTTGTGTGTGCATTTGCATACATGTGTGTGTACATGTGTGTGTACATGTGTGTGTGTACATGCGTATGTGGGTGTGTTGGTGTATATGTATGTGCACGTGTGTATTCTCATGAAGCTGATGGAAGCATTCCCGGACATCATCACCTATGAACAGCGGCAGTTGAAGGAGCAAGAACGTCTTCGTTGCCAGGCCGACAGTGAGTACATTGTGCATTTCCGCTATCAGGAAGCCTGTACTATAAGCTCTGTGCCCACCAAATCCAGACAATATCCATCTCCATTCTTTTTTAAACCGATTTAGCTCCAAAATCTGATATTAAACCGGCCTGAAGAGTATAATTGTTTGCTATGCTCCACATTTAGCTTAAAAACTACATAAAGTATTGAAAGCATACCGTAATTGGAAAAGCAGTCAATGCGTAAAATACGCAGCAAACCTTAAATTTCAGGAGCTTTGACCATTTCCCATTGTCAAAATCTGAATGTGATGATGGTTTTCCGTATTGATTTATTTGTTTGTTAGAAACAATGGAGAATACTTGCACCCATGTTTATACACAGTCTACAGTCTAATGTGATAATAGAGAGGTTCCGCACTACGTAAAGTTGAGCAACTTTATGTTAGTGGGTGGGAAAAACCCGTGAATTCGCGAGTTTGCACTCCACTTACGGGAAGTTGTCTACGGAGAGTACGTAGATAGGGCTCTGATAACGTAGCTGGTCCGTAAGTGGATTGGGATACAAATTTATGACTCTCTACCCATGTCGATCTGGTCGTACACTGCCGCGTTCGGAGTTGCCCAGGGCAGCTACGTGATTTGAAAACTCTGTATGGCGGAACCCAGATGCGCATGCAGTTTACGTAAGACTTTCCGTAGATCGACTACGTTTTTACTAACGTAATTACGTTATGCGGAACCTCTCTAATAGTTATCAGCGTTCCTGTTCTATAGAAAATATACTTGTAAAAAAGACCAAGGAACTACAAGTTTGGACTCGGATGAAGAGCCAGGGATAAATTTATAGGAAAGAAGAATGGACCAATCGACTCAGTGTCGTGCAATATTATGGCATGAGCTGATTGTTTAGTAACTGCCAGTGGTGTTAGTGGAGATTATGGCATAACTTGTACTACTGTACCAGTTGATTGATCTGTTGATTGTCTTCTTTACTATGAACTACAAGTTCAACTACAAGAGTCGATCACTAGGGAGTGTACAGGGTATGTGTTATGTTTGTCTAAATGTCCTCTAACAGATGTTCCATTGGCGGATGAAAGGTTCTCGACTGCACCCAAAACGTCATTTCTGGGCCAGAATCCCTGGTGAGTATATCATTTCTCTCAAGTTGGTTTCATTTCTCATAGTGATGAATGAATGTTAGTGGAAATTCCTCTTAAGAACTCCACTGTACTCTGCAGTACCTATGAAGTGTACATTGTATTCTGCAATCACATCTGTTACTATGGTTAATAAACAGACATTGGAAAGTATGTATTTATGACAATGGTTTTCATCTCTACTTCTGTATGTGTGTGTGTGTGTGTGTGTGTGTGTATGTGTGTATGTGTGTGTGTATGTTTGTGTGTGTGTGTGTGTGTGTGTGTGTGTTTGCGTGTGCGTGTGCGTGTGCGTGTGTGTGTGTGTGTGTGTGTGTGTGTGTGTGTGTGTGTGTGTGTGTGTGTGTGTGTGTGTGTGTGTGTGTGGGTGTTTATGTTTGTGTGTGTATATGTTTGTGTTTGTATTTGCCTGTGCGTGCCTGTGTGTGTGTGTGTGTGTGTGTGTGTATGTGTGTGCGTGCGCGTTGTTGCGAGCGAGCCTGCGCATGTGAATGTGTGTGTATGATGTTATCGCTATGCGGGTATGCGTGTTTCTGTGTCTATGTATTTGATGTGTTGTTTTGATTTACAGTATGGGAATGCTACGATCTCACCTCCATGCAATGCACGTTACGGATAAGCTGATCGTGGACTCTGATCACTACACTCTGGTCCAGGGTGAGTCCATTTTACTTCACAATCTCTGCAACTTCATATTCATGATAATCACTTGCCTGGGCAGAACTTCCTGCGATTTACAACACGTTTTAAGAAATCCTTAAACGACTTTCATGCATAACATTTGCTTTCTCTCTGTTTGTCTTAACAGAGGCAGAGGTAGCAGCAGAATTGCTCACATCAACAGTAGCACCAGCAGCACCAGCACCCACACCAGCAGCAGCACCAGCAGTAGCACCAGCAGCAGCACCAGCAGCAGCAGCACTAGCACCAGCAGCAGCACCAGCAGCAGCAGCACCAGCAGCACCAGCAGCACCACCAGCATCAGCACCAGCAGTAGCACCAGCAGCAGCACTAGCACCAGCAGCACCAGCACCACCAGCAGCAGCAGTGGCACGACCAGCAGTAGCACCAGCACCACCAGCAGCAGCACCAGCAGCAGCACCACCATCACCACCAGCAGCAGCACCAGCAGCAGCACCAGCAGCAGCACCAGCAGCAGCACCAGCAGCAGCACCAGCAGCAGCACCAGCACCAGCAGCAGCAGCATCAGCACCACCACCAGCAGCAGCAGCATCACTGACTGTAGCAGAGAGTGAAGGTATGAGACAGATAGTGATACTCAACATATTATGGTCATGTTTATTTCTCAGTAGTTTTTGACCACTTTGTGATGGGTGTGATGTACTCACCTGGCACAGCTTAGTAGTGATGGATGTACACCTTGATTCTAGATGGTGATGGTGTTCATCTACATGTGAAAAACTCAGTCTCCAGCCAGGTCACATTTCTTTATTAATTTTTATTTCTCACCACCCTCTTCACATCCACCTCCGTTCTTCTCCTCCACATCCATCTCTGCTTTTCCCAACTCTACTTTCCCTTTTCTGATATCCGCATCCACTTACCCTATCACCATCCTTGAATCAACTATGCACAATGCATAAACAGACGATGGTGGCAAGAGAAATGAGTGGTTATCACCAGCATGTTACAGCTTAGAGTGTGCTGTGTGGATAGGCATTGACCTCCATTTCTCCCACTGGGTTTAAACTATCATTTCTATGCAAATCCTATGGTGTTGTGTTGGAGTCTTTGCATCATTCTGCTCTGCTGTAAGATCACATGACTCCTTCAACTTGTTTACCTTATCATGACCATGTTCCTCCTAGGTATTTATGACAAAATGCACTCGTAGAGTACTGAAAATGAACTATATGTATTGTGTGCCTCTATTTCTGTTTTCTGTTTACAGCTGATCCATTTGAGGACGACTCATTCACCGCACATATCTTACCAAAGCTGTATAAGATATCTTGTGATGCACTGCGGCAAAGCGTTCAGGCACAAGGACTGCTGAGTGGTTTTGATCCCCTTCCGGAACTAAACCGTATTGAACAATTTGAAGGTGCAGAGAAGCATCACTTGAAGTTGATTGGATACATCCGTGCTGGAGAGCGAGATGCATACAGAAAGCTGTGTGCAGCAGTGGGAAACCTCAACTTGCAAGATCTGCACAACACCATGCTACGGCTACTGTAGTAGGAACTCTAGTCATGATGTGGTAAGTTTGTTGTGTGGTTTTATATTTCTCATACATTCACCTCTACATGTATGTTACAGGAGCGGAGCAAGCAGATTTTCATTAGTCTGCCCATACCATAGTATTTGGTAATTTGTGTCTGATATAGCGGGTATACATACATGTTACTACTCACCAGTCAACACACTCTGATGGCCAAACAGTTGGTCTACCCATGACCTAACCAACCGGACCGCTTCCGCCACCCATGTGCTAGTGTGTGTGTGTGTGTGTGTGTGTGTGTGTGTGTGTGTGTGTGTGTGTGTGTGTGTGTGTGTGTGGGTGTGGGTGTGTGTGCATGTATGTATGTATGTATGCATGTATGTGTGTGTATTCCCGACGATTATGGTCGCACACGTCTTTCTTCTCTTTCTCGGACTCTTCCTGACTTTTCTTTCATTCTCCTGGGTGGTTACCAACAGCCAGTGTATGCCGGAGTATGTGGTGTGGTGTGTGTGTGTGTGTAAAAAAAATGGAAAAATGAAAAATAGGGATTCACTGGCCGGAAAAAGTCACTTCAAACAGCTGTGTGGTGGATACCAGGCTAAAAATAGTGGCGGTCAATTCATCAGCCTTGCAAGCTGTTGAATGGTGTAATCCCAGCACAAGTTGCTATGTCTAACATAGCTGTTCGCTATCATCACTTCCGCGATGGGCACGTCTGAGGTCTGAGGTGTGTGTATATGTGTGTGTGTGGTGTAGACCAGGCTGAATAGTGGCGGTAAATTCTTCAGCCTTGCAAGCTGTTGAATGGTGCAATCCCAGCATAAACTGCTATGGCTTCTGCTGTAGCATCGCTATCATCGCCTCTGGCGATGGGCGTCCAATGGTCCAATGGTGTGTGTGTGTGTGTGTGTGTGTGTGTGTGTGTGTGTATGTTTAGGGGGTGGGCAAGATCTTGGCTCGTACAGAAGTAAAAAATCAACAATTCTAATTCATGGCGAAAGCAGCGGTGCTATGAATAGATCTCGTACTTGACCGCAGGTCTATCTCCACCTGATCAAATCTTTCCTTGGCAAAGGATGGCTGACCTCCACACTGCATTACGTTCTACCAAACTGTCCAATGACTAGCTGGAGCTCAAGTTGCTATGGTTTCTGCTGTAGCATCGCTATCATCGCCTCCGGCGATGGGCGTCAAATGGTCAACACAATGGTGTGTGTGTGTGTGTGTTTGTGGCTGTGTGTGTGTGGGGGGGGGGGGGTGAGGGCGTGGGTGTGGGGGAGTCTGGGCGCTCAAATGTGGGGGCCTGTGCCTGTTCATGTGTGGGTGTGTTTTTGTATGTTCTTGTGTCTGATTTGTGTGTGTTTGTGTGCATCTGTTGGTGTGCGTGTGTGTACATCGTGTGTGTGTGTGTGCATGTTTGTGAGTGTTTACATGTGTGTGTATGTGTGTATGTGTGTGTGTGTGTGTGTGTGTATGTGTATGTGTATGCATGTCTATGCACATGTTCATTCATAATGTATGTTACATCACTGTTCAGATTGTGCAAGACTGCTCTCTCCCAGCACTCCATGTACATCACAACAGCATACTCACACAGCCGACATAACTCGTTGCCCGTATCCCGGTATGCTTGTTTGTGTCGTTCTTCCCCTGCCACTGCTCTGCCCTATCCAACGTGTTCTTTTTCCTCATCTACACATGTATCATAATCTTGAGTTGCTTGCTCACCAGTTGTGGATATGCTCCATGTGTATTCTTTTGAAGGTGACCGTCCTTGAGAATATTTTCTCAAACAGCAGCTCCACCACCTCTGCGCCCACCCCCCTCCCCATCTTCCCTCCTCTCTCCCAATTCCACACGTGCATACGCGAGCATGTGCGCACATACATAATTTGTTCTATTGTTTGCTGTGCTTGCCAAGACTGTTGGTATGTTTCCATCGACTGTGTTTTTTTTATTACTGCATGTACATATGTTCATGTATACATAAATGTTCCTACTTTTTAAAATTCTATTAAGGTTTGCTCTAGAGCATCTTTCTTTTGTTCTTATTTCTTTCCAGCTACATCTCTACATAAATGTCCCTAGTCTTTAAAATTCATTTTGGCTTGCTCTAAGGCACCTCTCTATTTGCTGTGACAATTGCACAGTATTCTTTTCATTTTTCACTTGACTTTGTTCACATTTTTGCATTTGCGCACATACAAAATTTGTTCTATTGTTTGCTGTGCTTGCCAAGACTGATCGTATGTTTCCATCGACTATGTTTTTTGAATATTTTCTCAAACAGCAACTCCCCCACCTCTGCCCCCACCCTCCTCTCTTCCAATCCCACACGCGAGCACGTGCGCGCATACATATCTTGTTATATTGTTTGCTGTGCTTGCCAAGACTGCTGGTATGTTTGCTAATACATATACATGCCTGTACATGTATACATAACATGTTCCTACTCTTGAAAATTCAATTTGGCTTACTCTAGAGCATCTTTCTTTTGTTCTTATTTTTTGCTGCTACATCTGACAGTCATCTGTACATAAATGTCCCTAGTCTTTAAAAATCATTATGGCTTGCCCTAATGCACCTCTCTATTTGCTGTGACAATTGCACAGTATTCTTTTCATTTTTCACTTGACTTTGTTCACATTTTTGCTTCCGCTGAGACTTCTGTTGACCCTGTATTGAACTTGGCAGCTGAACTTCATCTCCTTTCCTTGTTTTTTTTAAATGCCTGAACAGATCATGACTTTTGTCACTTCTCCACTTTGCGTGTCTATTTCAGAAATTAATGTGATGGAAATCACACACATGTAATTCTAGGCTTGCATTGTTCATAGTCACTGACTCCAGTGTCTGCTCCAGGGCCGAGTCAGCCGGGCGAAGGACCCGTTTGGTGGTGGGGGGCGGGGGAGGGGTACTTGGACCCGTTTAAAAAAAGAACACTGGGTCACCATGGTCACTTGTGACCTGATTGGGAGATGTCCATGTGCATGTTGAGTAGGTACATGTAATCGCCATAACTGGCATAAGTCACGCACCGTGTCTGTCCTGGAACAGAAAATGTGCGACTTATCGCGAGTGTGCGACTTACATCAGATTCTGCAGCACGTCATGTAGATCTACATTGTACCTATTGGCAGCTAGCTGTATGCAGAACCACTGCTGCTAGATCAACAGAGCATGTTTATCCGCTAAAGACACTACTTAGTTCAGGACAAGATCTCGCGACAATCATGATTGTGTTGTGGCGAGGTCAAAATGCTACATGTACAGTTGCAAGTCACGTGGTTTGGGTAGTCAATCCCCGACGCAGTAGTACACAATCTTCTAGGTTTCACTCCTAGTAAACCTGTACTTCATCACCTTTGCTTATGTTATTCATTTCGAAAGAAAATGATATTCACTTTAGTCGATATTCCTTCCACTTCAGTTCTAGTGGCCATGATTTAGCAGCAGCGGTCAGGTATGGATGATGGCGGACGTAGTTATGATGGTGACGAGTCATATGAAATGATTGAAAATGTGTCTGAGTCCCGTTGGATGAAAGTGAACAAGAAAATTTGCAGAAATGGTCAGGAGCTTGAATATCGCGTACAGGATTATTTGAGCGGACCTCAGAGCCAATGCAAACCAGGACAAGACTGACTCAAGGAAAAAAACATTATATTAAAGAAGGTTTTGCATATCAGCCCTGCCGCGCGCTAGAGTTACGGAGTTCCCTCAATAGTTTCCGACTATCTTTACTGGAAAGTTGTTTTGTGAAGTGTGCCACCTTGTAGTGATGCCAAAAAGAGCATAAAGTCATAGTGCTTCGGAACGACAAGGCCGCAGCGAGCAGCAGAAGGAGAAGGCTAAAATCCATTAATCGACTTGATCCGTCTCATGGAAGCAGTACCAGGATAGGGATAGTTGTTTTGTGAAGTGTGCCACCTTGTAGCGATGCCAAAAAGAGCATAAAGTCATAATGCTTCGGAACGACATCGCCGCAGCGAGCAGCAAAAGGAGAAGGCTAAGATCCATCAATCGACTTGATCCGTCTCGTGGAAGCAGTACCAGGATAGGGATAGTGAGCAGATAGACGACACAACGTCTGGATAGTGTTCAACGCCGCGCACTGCGGATCATTGGCCCTAGTGCAATTCTCCCCAGTCTGGCTGTCTGCCGGACTGTTGCTGCTCTTTCCGGTCTCGTGCATGTACAAATTGCATTTCATCACTGGTCCTCCTCAGCTACTTGCAGTATTGCCACCACGTCGTGTTTCTCCAGCCAACATCAGAACCAGGAACGAGCACAATAATGCCACTAGCCACGCCTTTCAACTGTCAGACACGCTCCCTGTCTCAGCTCCATTCGTCGTGAAGCGGTCGTTCCCGTACTGCTGTATTGGCGCATGGAACTCCCTTCCTGACAGGCTGCTGTCGCAGCGCTCACACAAAACACATTTTCAGTCATTCAAGACAAAGGTCTACCCACACCTGAGAGACAGCAACTGGTGCTGGGCAACAGATTCCGTGTAATTTTCGAGCTCGTCCCTTGTCAGACACGCTAACCCGCGTACCCGGCCTTGCTCAGACTGTCAGACTGTCAGAGTGCTCAGCTGTGTGTTGCATACCTGTACAATACATGATTGTATGCTGCTTTTCGAGCGGACTCTGAAGTACCAGCCATGACCTATTGCATAATGATGTAATGTTATGTTAACAAGTTGAGAAGAATGAGCGCGTGCCGTTATCACCTGACCTTGTTATCACTTTTGTCATTTTTGTCACTTAGGGTATGCCACGTTTCTATGCAGAATGAGCGCAATTGCGCCAATGTCATGATCTCCCGTGGTCGGACACTGATTACTTGTGAGCGTTTCCCGAGGTATGTAGAGTAAAAATTGAAGTATCTCTTGAGGTAAGATGTTGACAACATTGGGATGTGTGGCCGAGTGGTCAAGTTCGTGATTCAAAGGATTGGTAATGGAAAAGTGCAGGTGAGTTCGAGTCTGGCTACGTGTAACTTTTTTCTTCACCTGCCACAACATCTACAGCACTCCCATGTACATGTACATTGCAGTGACACGTTACATGGTGATCATAGTCATAGAATGAATTACAACATGGTGCATAATGACATCACTATGACGTCAGGGTGGAGGTAATGATGTCACTAGACTGACTCGCTACAGGATCGAGTGCAATGACTATGTAGAACTGAAATGATGACCAGCAGGGACTGAGTCGGAGTCATGTGATGTCACGTGGTGTGTGTACCTGGAATTCTACTTCATAGTGCAGGTTGGTATTTCTATGTTTACAGCCTTGCATGCATGTCTAGTGATATGTCTCAGCAGAAACTTTAAAGGAATCTGACAGCCATTACACAAACATGCCTACAGCAAAACATCTACAAGAAGGCACAATAAGAACTCGAAGAAGAAATACAGAGCACTGGTCTTCTTTTTGAATTTTTCACGAGATTTTTGTACATAGATTCTCTCAAGAAGCTGAGTCGATCCCCACCCACCATCCTATCGATACTTTTCTTTTATAGTCCTTTCTGGAGAGTGGTGGCAACTTCACACCTATGCAAGCGATGAAATGCAGAACATGTTCATCGCATGTATGTACATTACAGATTTGCACCTATCAGAAACGTCTGCTCTTCTGTTATCACATGCAAACACAAACACACACACACACACACACACACATGCACACTCGCAGGCTCAGACTCAGACATGCCCATCGCTGAAGCGATACTAGCGAACAACTTTATCAGACATACAACTTGTGCTGGGATTACACCAGTCAACAGCTTGCAAGGCTGATGAACTTAGTTCACCACGCACGCACACACACACACGTACGCGCGTGCGCGCACACACACACACACATACACACACACAAGACAGTGAATATTTATGCATACTGGAACATTAGTGAAAACTTTAAAAACGAATTGTTCTCGCTAAAGAAGGGAATTGTGTGTATTCCTCAAGAATTGCTCAAGGATCACCGAAGTCGCTACAACCTCTTCTTCACAAGCTTATAAAATAGCTCGGATGGTGAGCCAATTTAATTATGGTGAAAAACTAGTCGTAACTCGTAACATTTTATAAAATAGCAGTTCAAAAAATGTCCCAGAAGTAGAGTGGTCGGTTTAGCTGATTAAAAGGTTGAATGAAGGTCTTAGAACAGAGCTGGATACAACATTGCAAGAGATTGCTTCAGGGTTCATTTGGGCAAGTGTGGATAATGAAGTAACAACGAAGGGTCAAATCCCGTTGCACTACACTTTGGAGTAATTCATGTTGTACCGTGATGTGTACAGTATCTGTTCATGTAGTATACTGCATCTACGTCTTGAAGATGAAGGAAACGCCAACGTGGTGGATGGATGCATTCCGACGCATAGACAAAGTCATTGCTGGCAGCACACGTCGATGGTTGATAGGGAGCTGTCAGGATTCGTGGCAGCGTTGTAGCACCAGGATTTTAGGTGGGCTGACCAAAATTAATGGTATACACGACCAGAAACGAACATCATCAATGAAGGTCCCCATTGTGCACGTATTCGGTGTGTCGGCGTTGTCGAAATGAGCCGGACCGGGTGGGTGTGCTACGGTCATGGGTGGTGACGATGGCTGATACTGAACTGCGCGTAGAAATTATTCATGTCTTGTGTTCCGTGATTCAGATCTTCACCAGTCTAAACTGTAACTCACACAAGAAAGAACACGACACAGACCAGGCACAATAGAATAAGTTTCTACACTACACCAATATCCAATGATTTTCAGGGAAAGATGCAGGCGGGAAAAGTCTGAGCAAAACTTAGACTGTGACCACCAGGAGTTGAACCAGGGACCTTCGCTGGAGGACAGCTACGCTCTAAGCATTGAGTTATGGTATAGCTGTCATTCAAGCAGAGACCGTCCAACATCTTCTTCAGACTTCCACACAAATACTTCAGTTATAGTGGAAACGGAAGAGGACCCTACAAGGCTTCGTCTAATGTGCACATGCAAACACGGAGATAGTTCCTGTCAACCTGACCAAGCTAGGCAGTTGATTTCTACATTTTCTCAATTCAATGAGATGTGATGGTCTGCCGGAATGCATAGCAAGTTTCTTGATGTATTACACTGTAATCATAGTGAACCACCACCCCCCCCCCCCCCCTTCATCCCCCCCCCTCACACACACACACACATGCGTGCGCCCACACATTTACACCCACCCGCACCCGCTTCGCTTTTCAAAGTCCTGAATCATGGCCAGAAACCTGAGGGTCAAAATTTTACCACTCCCAGCTATGTATATCTTGAGTGTGCTGAGTGTTTGTCTGCATCTAGACCGTTAAAACATAGTTACATAAATCCAAGAGTGGGTCATGGGTTACTGATCTCTCTCTCGCGGGCTGCCACATCGCAAGAGTCCACGCATCAAATTGTCACAGCCGCTGTAAACTCTGCTTCATCTGCTATGGTTGGGTGTCTGCCATCCGAAAGTGTTCGGAAAAGAACCGCTCAACGCATGAGAGTCCGAGCAGGCAATGCTCCCCCAAACCCGACTTCACTAGCGGAGCTCGTCATCCCTCAAGAGTACACCACCACGGGGAACGGTGACGACTTTTTGTTGCACGACAGTGGTGCTGCATCCGGGGATCACCGCATCCTGGTGTACGCTACCAAGGAAGGCCTGGACCTATTAGAGAAGTGTGACGCGTGGTACGTGGACGGCACATTCAAAATTGTTCCGAGGCTGTTTCTAATA